CACTGGGGAGCTCCAGCCTAGAGCTGGTAACAGTATTTCATGTGAGGCCGAACCTGCGCCTTGTAAAGTTGCAGGCGGTGTGCCGACATGAAATACTGTCTCGCTCTGGTGAACACGCCAAGCTTTTTGGAAGTCCACTGTTGAATATGATTTCCTCCACTAGTTGCCGCAAAGCACGGTCCTGAGCTGCATGCTTCACGAGTTCGTATATGTACGAAATTATAATTATTTTTGCTTATTTTCATCTTTCTCAAAATATAATGAAAACAAGCTGCCCCGCGACTTTGCCCATGTTCAATTTAGGGTTTTAATTTTTTTGTGCGGAATTCTAATTCTTTTTCTAAAATAAAAGTAAGCCAGTGAAAGTCCCGTAAAAATTGGTCCAGCCATTTCGGAGATTAGCCGGAACAAACAGACAGACAAACAAAAGTTTTTCTTTTTGTTATAAGTACCGTATACACTTTAAGACAAAGACACTTCAATTTTATTTATTTGTATAGATATAAGGCGTTCTTACACAACAAAAATGTACAGTCAAGTCTGACAACTTTACCAATGGAAAGTAACTTTGTCATTTTTTATAGGATAAGTGTGACAAACGAGCACACAGTCCACCTGATGGTAAGTGGTTGCTGCGGCCCATAGACATCTACATCTATCCTCTGTTACAAATCAAAATGTAGATGCGTTGTCACCCGTGAGGACTAAGATGGAATGCCTCATTTCCAGTAAAAAGGGCCTCCGGCCACCTGCACTCACCAAGCGAAACGCAGAGGTAAACTTCTACTTCACGCTGGTTTTCTGTGAGGTAGTGGTACTACCCCGGTACGAGCCGGCCCATCCGTGCGACAGCAAAAGCTGCCGCGTGGCTCTACCACTGTTAGGGGGGTTCTGGTACAAAATTACGATTAACACGGAAAATGCAACATTTTTCGAGATAAGTCATTTTTTGGATGAAAATACAATACCTAAATGACAGCATTGCTTTCGATATGACACCATGAGTTTTAATCATGGGCATGCAACTTAGAACATTATTTTACGAAAAAAATGATACGTTTTATGTGCTTCCATCTACATTCCGAAGCGCTAGGCTAGACTTATTTTAATCTCACTAGAGGGCACACTTATATATTAAGTCTATGCATACGCAATGATCCATGCGCACTACGCAGTTAGTAGCGGTCACTGGTAGTTACATTTAAATTGTTATTAATATTTATTGAACATTATTTTTTTTAGAAAATGCCGTTTTATCTGTGTTTTCAGGCAGTGAAAAACTGCTAAAATATCATAAGAATACAAAGGTAAATTTCGCCACGTTATAATAGCTCAGGTGGGTAACCGGGCGGTCCCGAAACCAAAACACCCCGGTTTGAGTCCAGCAGATGTGTCTATTTTTTCCCTTTATTTTTCAAGTTCCTTCTTATGTAAGAATTAAGCAACATCTGTTCGGCAAAGCACGACACTAACGAAAATTAAATTTGAGTCGCGCATCTATCTCTAGTATATATACAGTAATCTATGGTTTTAATTTTGGCATTTTATTTTAACGCGGAATTGTGCAGGCCAAATAACCTCTTTGTTCAGTGCTCCAGAACTTTTGTTGATTTTGTTTGAAATACTGAATGTAGGTATCTATATCTTTGTAGTAACGTAATATTAATGGTTATTAAATGTAATATATCGTTTTTAACATGTTGGTCTTAACATTTATCTATAAAATTAACTTGACAAAGTTACCATACTAGTGATGCCACGATGTGACGGTTACTTTGCCATGTTTTGCTACAACCAAGGGTTGTCACTTTCAACTTATATTTTTAACCGATTACAACTATTTAAAAAAAGTGTTCTGTACTTCACATTCTATGTATGTATGTTTGTATCGATGTTTCACCGTAGCAACCCATTAGACCGATTTTACCAAAGGAGTCGTCAATCAATTCATTTTTAAAGTGAAGGAAAAGAAAAGAGAAATTCTATATTAGTTTTACTCCTTCGTCGGGTATTAATAATATTATTACTGCTCAGTATTTTTCATAATTTCTACTAAGTGTATTGATATGAAAATGCACCCAAAAAGCAGTGTCATATTTAATGATTATTAATGTTTTGTTGTTGTGGAAAACTATATTTAGATTGATTACAACAATTATGACTTACGACCCGTAATAAAATGATGATGACTAATAAAAAAAAACGAATACTTGGTAAAAATGATAGTGCCAAGCTTTTTTTGGAACAAAGTTCCTTTCCAAACTTACAGGGGTCGTAGCGGAATACCGCCACGACCCCTTCCGCCGTAGTGTAGACGGCCTTGGCGGCTATAAGGAAGCGAGATGGAATAATATCCACCCCCCTCATACTTTATCTTATCTTGACATGAAAGAAATATTATTTTATTTTAAATGGCTCTTCATTTTAATAGAAGCTAGTAATCATTTATTTGTATTTGTTAAATAATAATATAATACGTTTATCAATAATAATATACCACAAAAGAAACTTCGTTCCAACCGAGTGTTCCACGACACTCACGCAAGGTTTTTTTTTTTTTATTCTATACTATAATTGATTTTAGCTTATTATTGCACCAATTTGACTTTTAATTAAAAAAAAATAAGTTAAATCGTAATCAAGGATTTTTGACAACCCTGACACATATTTTCAATTTTGTATGAAATATTGAAAAATGGGATGGCCACTTTGCCACAAGAGTAAACTTTGCTATTTACAACACAATTAAAGGAGCAAATCATAACTCTATTATATTACGAGATAACCTTACCTAACTTACCATCAACCCAAGTCAAATCCTATTATTTTCATTACAAACCCTGATGGCAAAGTTGTCACAAAGTGAGGTTAAGTTTGCCATTTTCTTTTTTTGAGTACTTTGCCTATTTAATGTTAGTATTTGTTTAAATCACTAATAGATACCAAATCTATGAAGAATATAATGTCACATTTAACATTGACACCCAGTCTGACAGTACATTTTTTGTTGAAAAATTGGTCGTAATAAGTCCTTCTAAAAATAGCAAAGTTGCCAGGTTTCACGGTATGATAGGAAAGCAAGTACCTACATATTTGGCTAAACTTTCAATTCATAAACCAACTTTATAACATAGACATTATAATTAATAACATTTATTTCAGTTTATGACAACCCTGATTTATATTATATGGCTGAAATTAGGTACTATTTATTTGGTACCCTAAAACCAATGACATTATGCACTCCACACATTTAATATATCTAATTACAGCCCCATTAATTCCCACCAAAATGAAATAAAAATTTTATAATATAACTGCCTTACTATGCCTATAGTCATATTCATTCAATTAACAAGGCCTAAAGATGATATAATGTAAAATAAACTTAATTTAATCCAGATGATAACTTATCAAAATATTAAGAAAATGAGTATTGTCCCTTGTGTAGGTGATAGGTGTGGTAATATTTGAAATATACTTTCCTCTAATTACAAATAATTTTTTAGTTGACAATATTTATAGTTAAAACCACTAGAAACCTTATTTTTGAAGTAAAAAAGCAAAATGGCAGGTATTAGGGGATCCACCCTGACTTCACACGGGTGATTTTTGGATCTCGACAACAGCGCCATCTACCTGATCTAATTGTGAACCTAAGCCATTCCCTAATCAACACACAAAATTTCATCAAAATCAGTCCACCCGTTTAGATGGAGTTCAGTCACATACACATAGACAGAAGAATTATATAATATATAATATGCATGTATTAAGCATATAAACCTACCTATTGAGGATCATTCTGTTTATTCATGAAAACCCACTGAAACACACAAAAATTTCATCAGAATTCGTCGAACCAGTTTTGAGTTTTAGCGAGACTGACGGAAAGCAATTGATTTTCTACGGTACTCAATTCAACTGTATGTTTTTTTTTATGTGTGTTACCTCATAACTTTTTACTGGGTGAACTGATTTTGATGATTCTTTTTTTATTTGAAAGCTGGTGCTTCACATGTGGTCCCATATAAATTTGATCAAGGTCTGACCAATAGTTTTTGAGTTATTCTTAATAATTTATATTGAAGTTGGTTGTACAAATTTTTTAATTTTAAATTATTTATATTGAAACTGACTATAAAAAAAAACTATCGATTTTTTTTTATAGTCTAGCTTTGCTAAGCACGCCAAGATTTTCTGCCGACTTCCAAAAAGGAGACGGTACTCACTTCGACTGTATTTTTTTTTATGTGTGTTACTTCATAACTTTTTACTGGGTTTCAACATTCTGACTTTTCTATCTGCATAGTTAATTCAAAAATATAAACATACCAATCCATAAGAATTCAATAAAAATAAGCAAAAGGATATACCAGAAAACCTAATAAATACATAATCAGATGGCCATTTAAAAAATTATGAAATATAATATCTTATTGATGAATAGCAACCCAGGTCTTGCAGATTCCCAACACAGAGAGAGAAATACCGAGTAACAGTTGAGAGATTTCATCACAATATCTCCAGTACCATTTAAAAAATCAACCCAAGCAGACAAAATTTTAAAATTGGTTATTTATGTGCACTATCATGCTATTATTAGCATGCACATAACCCTCGGAGCTTAATAGAAGCCAGTCATAGTGATATTACAGACAGACACTTCAATTTTATTTATACATGTAAAATGTATAGAATATAGATAATTAATCAATAATAATCTTTATTCAATAAAGTTAACAAATCTAAATATCTCTTAATCTTTATATTAATGACTGATGAATTTAGACCTTTGACATGAAGCACCTTATTTAGTAATATGTTATAGTAGGAATTTATATGATAATTATGTCTAACCTAATTTTTCTTTGTACATTATAAACTTTCGCCATTAGAATACATGGCCTAGGCTCCTCGGTAGTGATAATTTAACCGAATAGGTACGACATTTGTCTTTACAAGAAAAAAAAAATTAAATCAGTGAATTGCCGACTCACCTCATCCAGAAACTTAGTAACGTCGTATACACCGTTGTGGATGATGAGAATCGCATCGTCACGGGTATTACGGCACTTGAGCTCCTCTCTTGTGAACAGTTTAATTTGTTGAGCCATTTTCGGAATAAAATCTAAAAGGAATTTCCTAGCCTGGGCAAGCAGCACCGGTATATCAAAAGAATTCTGTAATAGGAGTGCGCGACGCGACGCGGCAACACGGATCACGGACGGACCACGGAGACCTTATGACGGAGACGGTCGCCCAGTTTAGTTTAGCTACTAGGCATGTCGATCTGAAATCGATTATTTCGAGTAAAATAATCGATTTATCAGATCCAAAAACCTCTTGAATCAGACTGATCCATAACTAGTGATAAAGTTCCTAAACTGGCTGCGGTAAAAACAACCAGTCGTACTTGGTTGATAGTTTGAACGCAACAAATAAATATTTATGAACGTATCCAAACATGTCGTTACCTACGTTTTTTTTTTATAGAATAACGACAAACTAGCAAACAATCTACTTGATGGTAAGTGGGTGTTGTGGCTCATAAACATCCTCCTTTTATCCTCGATTAATAATCAACATCAACATGCAGATGCGTTGTCACCCCTGAGGACTAAGATCGAATGCTTCGTTTCCATTAAAAAGTTTTTCCGCTGCTCAACACTCACCATACAACACACAGCAGCCTTAACTGCTATTTGATGCTGGTATTCTGTAATAGTGGCCCTGCCTCGGGTGAGCAGACCAATACACGCTATCAGCTAATATAGCTGCAGCGTTGATGTACCACGATAATACAATATGTTACTTACTAATAATAAAAAATTGTCACTTGTCATTTTTAATCTTACCCGTGGATTCCGGTGTCTAACCTAATCTGTGCTATGAATTTACTTCATTTATCAAAAATATACTGTGAGTAAATATTATTTGTTGAAGTTTTTAGTAACGAAATAAACAGTAAAAATAAACAGTCGACGGCACCGTGGCGCAGTGGCTTAGCAATCAGTTGTTGCGATGGGGGCCGCGGCTTCGAATCCCGCACGGAACAAGTATTTGTATGGCCTATAAATAATTGTTCCGGGTCTGGATGTTTGTCTTTGTGCAATTTATGTTTGTAAACTGCCTCCACGACACAGGAGAAAATCCTAGTGTGGGGGTAACGTTTTAAAAAAAAAAGAAAAAAAAGAAAAAAAGTATTATGTTCGTGTAGCATTCAATTAAATTTGATTTATCAAGGAATGTACATTGCAGTTTGGAAGTCTGTTAAAGCATTGTTGTTCATATATGTATTATTAGGCATCATTGAAAATGTCGCGATTAATCGAAAATCGATCTCTTAATGATCATCAAAACTCGACTCTAGTGTGTTCGATTTAAATTGAATCGGAGATCGATTTTATTTTAAGTGAATCGACATGCCTATTATCTACCTCATTACACTTTATAAAAATGACAGAAGACAAATGACATATGACAGTCAGCGTTACCAGATTTTCAAAAATCTACTAAATTCTATTAACTAAAAACAATTTTCTCCCTTTTACACGTTATGTATCCCTCCAAAACCCAGTCAATGTAAAACTAGGCACAAGGGCCAACTTCATGGAAAAAAGGGGCTCTTTATGATGATCTCTTTCTTCCAAAAGGGGCCCAAAAGAAAGTGGATGGACGAGCCACGATGGCTCAACATAAAATGAGATTGAGTTCATTATTATGACCAGACGGCAACCGTTCAGTGATAACTGCAATGTAGTGGGCGATATAAATGACAAGCTCGTGAAAACTGTCCATGCAGTTGGAGTTAAGCTCTACAAGATCCGTCACAGAACAACCCAAAAACCCTCCGATCACACTCTTAATCTCTTGACTGTAATACGGGAAATGAACCTGCGGTCTTCAGGATATCTGAGACCATACAAGCTAATGAACAGACATATCTCAAAATGTATGCGCCGGGACTTAAGCAACTTTAATACAGCTCAAAGAAGCGATCGAACGGAACCAAGGCTCCAAAGACGATCTATCTACGGGCAGCTGCGAGGCTCCAGCAACCACGCGCAAGAGTGAACAGTGATCCTAATATTGTCGGATAAGACTTGCTCTTATCCGACACTATTGAAATCGCTATTCCGATTATATACCGGACGTCAGTTTGAGAGAGATTACAATGGCTCTCCAGCACCTTAAAAACCGCAAGTCGCCGGGCGAGGATGGAATTACAGCGGATCTTCTGAAAGCAGGTAAAAAACCACTACTTGAAGTCCTTCATATGCTCTTCGATTCCATCATCCATGGTGGCACTACTCCGGAGGCTAGGAGCAGAAGTGCGGTGGTCATGTTCTTCAAGAAAGGCGACAACGCTCTGTTGAAGAACTCTAGATCGATTTCCCCTCTGAGCCGCGTCTACGTGCTGTTTTAGAGTCGTATCACATGCACGACTTCCAGCCTCTCGAACAAGCCAGTTTTCGTAAATGCTTTAGTACAATAGACCACATACTTCGGCAAATTGTATGTGGCGGCGCTGTCGTCGCGCCACAAGCGAAACACATTGAAGCCTAAATCGCACTAACAAAGTTCCGAAGTTAAAGCAGCATATATAGAATAGCTCCGAACTACCAATCGAAGCGTTGGCCGCTCCCCGGGCAGAACACCTTGCCCGGCGGGAGATCTCAGCTTTTCCTTCCACTCGCCACAGTGGTGACCACCCGACGTGATATGAACACGCAACCAACAAACCTTCGGTCACTACACCTTCAAACCTTCATCATCCTCAAGTACCCCATTCATTCGCACCCGAGAAGATATTGTTTGCAGTCTTCACATTCTGCAAGCCATCTAGCTTTACAAAGGTTCATCGCAGCACTGGAATAATAATGCTTCCTGTTCCTACAAGCTACTTTCTGCGCTACAGTGTTCGGCACGGCTCTGAGCCTTACTGATCGCCTCTGCTCACGGCACCCTCGCAAATTACTTGCCTTCTTCTCGACTCACCGCAGACTTACAAGGCAATTCCCTGGCACTTGCAAATTCGTCGACATCTAGACTGCACTATCGAGCTCCGGTCTGCGCAGGTGGGTGATGTGGCAGCGCTGTCGTCGCGCCACAAGCGAAACACATCGAAGCCTAAATCGCACTAACAAAGTTCCGAAGTTAAAGCAGCACATATATAATAGCTCCGAACTACCAATCGGAGCGTTGGCCGCTACCCGGGCAGAACACCTTGCCCGGGGAGCGCCCGCTTTTCCTTCCACCCGCCATATGTACAATTGACCGAAGACTACAACATGCAACTCGCGTATGTAGACTATGAAAAAGCTTTTGGTACTGTCGAAATTTGGGCGGTGCTACAGTCCATTTAGCGGTGCCAAGTTATCTGTTGGGATAGGGTAACTTTACATCCCCAAAACTCTTCACTGTTGCAATGGAAAAGATTTTCAAGCTACTAGACTGGAAAGGATACGGTATTAACATCAATGGCTAGTACATCACTCACATTCAATTTGTCGACGATATAGTCCTTATAGCAGAATCGCTGGAGGACCTAAGCACTATGATCAATGATCTCACTAGTGCCTCCCAACGGATAGGTCTTACAATGAACATGGACAAAACAAAGATCATATGTAACGTCCATGTCACATCTACGCCGATTGTTGTTGGGAACATTAAGCTCGAAATTGTTGACGAGTATGTTTATCTAAGACAAATATTCTGACTAGGTAAGTCCAACTTCGACCGAGAGGTCAATCGACGGATTCAAATCGGCTGGGCAGCATTTGGGAGATTATGACGCATCTTCCCGTCACGTATACCTCAAATCTGAAACTCTAAATTGGACAACCAATCCATGTTGCTAGTGTTGACTAAAGGATCTGAGACGTGGTCCTTCACTGCTGGCCGTATGAAGTGATGAAGAATATTGTTCGCTCAGAGAAATAAACGTGCGCCTTTCTCTTTTCCGGAAAGCGTATCACGCGCAGCTGCTATCGTGCATCCTTCCCTACCGCACATCATAATATACGTAGTCAGGTCATAAGTTTTGTCAAAAACTTTTTATAAAATTAATGATACATTTTTTGATAATTATATAGAAATTATATATTAAATGAAAGGTAATTTAATTTAGAATACAATTTTATTTACATTATTCAAAATGCCCTCCCCTATTTTGGAGACATGCCCTTAATCGACGTGGCCAATCATCAATTGCAGCACGCACCACATTCATATCTATTTCTGCCGCTGCTTTTGCCACAGATGCTCGGAGAGATTCCAAATTCTGATGAGGTTTAGCGCAGACTTTCTCCTCCAAATGTTGCATGTCTTGTAATCCAGTGGGTTTAAATCTGGACTAGAAGAGGGCCAGTCTACATGTAGGATAAAGTCAATTTCACGGGCGGTCAACCAGTTTTGCGTGCTTTGTTTATGAGCTGGTGCAGAGTCCTTTTGAAATATCCAATGTCTGTTTTTGAGCATTGTTTGAGAAAGCGGTTCCACTATGTTTGTTAGGACGGTATTTTGGTACACCTCGGCACTGGTTTTTATACCTTTTTCACAGAAAAACACCTCAGTTAAGCTTGAATATGAGACTCCAAGCCAAACCATGAGTGACGAAGAATAAAGTGCTCGTTGAACCCTCGGAATACGCGTGCTGGCTTCTCATTTTGTTTATTATTTCTTTGTTTTCTAGGTTTAAAAAACGTTACCCTCACATTAGGATTTTCTCCTGTATATGAGGCGGCGATTTCTTGTATGGAGGCAGTTTAAAAACACAAATTGCACAAGGACAAACATCCAAACCCGGAACAATTATTTGAAGGCCATACAAATACTTGTTCCGTGCGGGATTCGAACCCGCGGCCCTCAGCGCAGTAACTCATTGCTAAGCCACTGCGCCACAGAGCCGTCTTCGTCACTTTCTTCGATGTTAAATATGTTTTCATCCGAAAACAAAATTTTCACGGCATTTTTTTCCCGCGTACCGCCGTAACAAAGCGCGGGATCTATCCACTTCTTTTAAACGCTCGATCTAAAAATGTCCGGTCTTCTTACGATAAGCTCGTAGTCCTTCCATCGTCGCAGCCACAGAAGACGGAAAGGCAAAGGTCGAAGAGGAAAAAGAAACCTGCCTACCCACCGCTGGTTGATCTTCCTCCTGTTGCAGCGACGGTATCGAATAACCCGGTACCGCCCAATGCCACTTCGTGGGTTGAAGTGGCTAAAAAGCCCAAAAAATCAAGGGCCACCGAAAAGCAGATCGCCGCGATGGCGCCACCTTCTGGTACTCCAAAAGAGAGGCGGAAAAACAAAAAAATATTGCGTGCCCCAACATATGCGGCCGTAACAGTTACGGTGTCAGAAAGCTCCACTGTTACTTATGCCAAAGTAATGGAGGAGGCAAAGGCCAAAATACACTTGGCAGATTTTGGCATCGAAACAGTCCGCCAGAAGCGGGCGGTAACCGGAGGACTCCTGCTGGAAACTAAGGGTCCAGATTGCGGCGCGAAGGCGGACAAGCTGGCGGCCAAAATGCGTGAGGTTCTCTCAGACCTAAACGTGCGAATCAATCGGCCAGTTAAAACTAGCGACGTTCGACTGAGGGACCTCGACGACGCCGTCAGCACTTTGGAGGTTGCGGCGGCTATGGCTGAGGCAGGAGATTGTTCGGTGGATGACATAAAAGTCGGGGAAATCCGCCGAAATCCCACTAGCATGGGGACATGCTGGGTGCGGTGCCCAGTCACGGCAGTCCGTAAGATTGCGGCTGTTGGGCGAGTGCGCGTGGGTTAGGGGTCTGCTCGAGTAGAATTACTGGAACCCAGATCGATGCACTGTTTTCGGTGCCTAGAAAGGGGGCACGTTGCCAGCAGGTGCTCCAGTGAAACAAACAGAGGCGCGCGCTGTTATGCTTGAGGAGAGCAAGGACACAGGGCGAAACAGTGCACTGCGTCGGCACTAAAATGTTCCCTCTGTTCCGATCTTGGGCATTCTGCTGGCCACAGATTAGGGAAGAAGTGCATCCCACCTCCCAAAAAAAGGGAAGGAAGAATGGTGAGATATCTGCATCCACCAGCAAGGCGGCCACAACGACTTCTGTAGCTGCACCGAGTAATAGCTCGGCTATGGAGGTGGCTGAGTTAGAAATTCGCACACCTTAAGTCCTCCAGGGCAACCTTAACCACTGCCGCAATGCGCAGCATCTGCTCATGCAAACCATTGCGGAGTGGCGGGTTGCTCTTCCCTTGCAATAGTAGCGCAGCCCTATGCCGTTCCCGACCATCCTGGCTGGTTCGGTGACGAATCAGGCTCCGTCGCCATCTACTGGGGGGGTGCAGTGCAATGGGGCCCCCTGGCCATAGTGGGCTGCTATGTCTCTCCTAATAGGTCTCTTGCCGGCTACGAGGCGTACCTAGACGAGGTGGCAAATTTTGTTCGCAAATGTCAACCTCGTCCGTTGATCGCTCTGGAAGATTTTAACGCCCACACAAGGGCTTGGGGCAACTCCAGAGACGATCCCAAGGGAGAGACAGTGATGGTATGGGCGGCTAGACTGGACCTTCGATTAATGAATCAGGAGTCCGTAAGCACATGTGTACGGAGGCAGGGGGAGTCCATCATGGATATTACGTGGGCAACTCCTCCTGCAATGCAAATGCTGTCGGGCTGGCGAGTGGCGGAGGAGGTGGTCACTTTGTCTGACCACCGCCACATTGTATTCGATGTTGTACTTCGACAGCCCGACAGTAACCCCAGTCGCCGAGATAGCAGCCCACCGCGGCGTTGGTGTCTCTAGCGGCTCGACCGAGATAAGCTCGAAGCCGCCGCCATCGTCGCGTCCTGGCCAGAAAACGCCGAAGAGGTTCAGTCCGATCCTGAAGGGGAAGCGAACTGGTTTCGGGGTACGATGGCGCAAATTTGCGACCTGTCGATGCCCAGAACCAGTCGCCCCAAGCGCAAAGCAGTGTACTGGTGGTCAGCAGAAATCGCACGGCTCCGTGCAATCTGCTTACGGTGTCGGCGCCAGTACACTAGAGCCCGAAGGAGAAGACGGCGAGCTCCGCCTGAGGAGATAGCCAGACTCTACGGGGCATACCGAGCGGCTACAAAGGCGTTGCAAATCGCGTTTACCAACGCCAGGTGTCAGTCCTGGAAAAAGCTTCTGGAGGGACTCAACGAGGATCCCTGGGGGCGCCCATACAGGATGGTGCTTGGTAAGCTCCGGCCTTGGTCGCCCCCTTTGATGGAGACTCTCGATCCGGATCTTCTGGAAAGAGTAATCAGTACGCTCTTTCCAGAGGACCGGTCAAGTCCCGAAGGTCACCTGCTGTCTTCATGGGAGTGGCAAGAGGAGATGGGGGTGACCGTCGAGGAGCTGGACCGAGCCGTTAGCCGCTTAAAAGTCCGGAACACAGCACCGGGTCCCGACGGAATCCCGGGCCGGACCCTAGTGCTGAGTCTGGCTGCCCTGGGGAACAGGCTCAGCTCTTTTTATTTTTGGCTAGCGCAAACGTTATATTTTTAAAATTGTTGAAGTTCATCTAGCCAGTATTCAAACATTTAAAATAATAAGGTTTTGACCGAACTTATGACTCGACTAAGTATATAGTGTTCTTTGTCACACTCTACTTTAAAATAAAATTATTGAAATGCTAAATTGTGTCAATCACTAGTCTTGCTACGATTTGAAAAGTCAACCATATACTGTTCTATTTGCAATAAAAATATCTATATTTCCACATTAAATTTTTTGGAAAAAGAATGAGGCTAAATTACTTTATCAGTTTACCTGTTTACACCTGGTAGACAGGTACTGTTGCATGGAAAAAGATAGTGCATGGAAAGACATGCTGTGGCATTTTCTATATATTTTTTTTTCGATTGAGACAAATTTTATCCAGGAAAAGAATTACTGTAACCAGTAAAAAAATTTATTAAATGATTTTTAAATAAAAATAGCCTTGTCAAAACATAAGCTATCATCACCCGATTTGTATTTATTTATTTTATTATAAAAAAATTATTTCATCAATGAAAAGAATGAGGGAGTATTTTTTTAAACCGGATCTTGGTCTATGTAGGGTTGGGTTATGCTGTGTTAGTCCCAGTATCTACGAGGGCGATACTGAAAGTTTTTAGAACTGCCCACTTGTAAACGATAAGATAAAATCGATCCTCCATGAACATTTAGCGGTCAGGAAGCTTTGCGCCCAGTGGATACCTCATAATTTAACAGAAGCCCAAAAACTCCGTCGTGTTGATTGGTGTCGTGAAATGGTTCAAAGATTTAACAGAGGTGACTCAAATGCTGTGTTCGACATACTTACTTGTTATGATCCTGAAACTACGAGACAGTCTGCTGTCTAGGTGTTTCCTTCCAATGAGTTGCAAACTAAAGTGAAGAGATGTTGAAGCGTGGGAACAAAGATGGTGGCCTTGTTCTTCAGAAGGACTGGTAATTACGCAACAATTGTTTTAGAGGATCGAGAAACAGTAACTGCAGAGTGGTACACTACCAATTGTTTGCCACTTGTCTAGGAAAAAGTTCAGGAGAAACGACCTCACAGTAGAATCCTCCTTCACCACGACAATGCCTCGTCGCACACCACTAAGCAAATAAATGACTACTTGGCAACGTCAGAAGTGGAATTACTGGGTCACCTGCCCTATAGCCCCGACCTCGCACCTTGCGATTTTTATTTATTTCCGAAAATAAAAGAAAAACTTAGAGGAAAATGTTTTATGGACGCCAAGGACAAGTGGGCAGTGCTTTTCTCAGTAGTTCCATTGGATGCAGTGATGTATTGATGTACACTATTTTGAATAGATATAATAAAAGTAATAACTTGCTTGCTAGTTTGTTTAGTTTTTGATTTTCTAAAAACTTTCAGTGTCACCCTCATATAGGTAGGCTAAATGTAACAATGTACTTTTAACCTACCTAGCTTTAGATCTAACATGGGTTGGTAGAAAAATCTTGTATTATCACAAATTTGTAGTACTACTATTTTCTCATACACTGTGGAGTTTCAGACAGTCGAAAGAAAAGGTGATCATTATGACGTGTGCGTAATTATATTATTTTGAAATATCTGTTAAAAATAAAATAACCAAGAAATTAATTAAATAATTTATTCCTTCACTAAAGGTCAACATTGTTCTATACTACAATTCCTATTAAAATTCTACTTAACTCCTATACTTTTATTGTAGTGGCCTCTTGTATTTCCTTCTGCTTATGTGTTCCATCGCAAAATGGCCTATTCTTTGTTTGTTTACAATTGCACAACCAATACTCCTTAGTTTTCTCAACTTTAAATCTAATGGGCCTGGGGATATAGAAAATAATTACAATTAGTTCTAGTTAAGTAAGAGCAGACATAGCCCTCGCTGTAAGTTTCACAGTACATGAGCAACCCGGGTTCGATCCCCGCCGGCACCAATGAAATTGTTAATTGAAGTTTTAAGTGCTGCTTTACTACATGCCCGGCTGTGAAGGAAAACATTGTGAGGAAACCTACATACACAAACACAAATGCCTATCACCCAGAGGGCTAGGCAGAGACTACGGACTTCCATTTGGCACGATCCTGCCACACCTCTCTCGCCTCCTTTACATCCATATATCTACACATACACACTCGTTGGTTAAGGGTACTCCTAATCTAGCCCATTTTCAATGTATCCAAATCCTACATGTCTGAGAAATAAGAAAAAAATTATATTGAAGAGGTGTGAAGTTCGCCAACATGTATTGGGGCAGCACAGTGGACATTTCCTTGTCCTAAAACCCTCTCAGAAATGAGAGGAGCCTGTGCCCAGCTGCGGGACATATATAGGCTATAACTTTAAGTAAGTTAAGGGTCATGGGAATAATCAAACCTTTGAGTTATTTTCAGATAAACATCCTTATGTGTACCATCACATAATGGTTGAGACTTTGAGCGCCCACATAAACACCAGTGGTAAGTCTTCCCTTCTTCAAGGGTTACTTTAAAGGGTTTTCTGTCGTACACAATCCCATTGTCTTTTTGACTATTGGCAGAATATACTGGGGCCAAAGGGTTTTTAGGTATTTCTGGCTTCGGACCTTTCGTTACATAATTTGCCTGTAAGGTGGATTTAAATAAGTATTAATTTAGGTGACCATGGTTTATAAATTTAACATAACCATAAGCGATAACTTTTTACCAACCAATCGAAAAGTACCGTTCACTATTCTATATACACTTTTTTTCGCAAACATTATATTGAATTAATGTCAGGTTTATACTTAAAGAATAAAGTAACGTTTATTTAAACTTTACAACTTATTCCATTACGTTATAATAGATAATTTTGAGCATAAATGAAACTGAAACAAGCAAGGAGTGCCACTGTGACTGACACTGACAAATCTATACAAATTAGACGTGGGCGTTATTTCACGTCACTAGTTACAATAACTGGCTACGCGGCATGTAACCGAATCACTAGTTTCAAGTCATATTACAAGTAGTGATTTTTGTAAAAGCGTTATTACTGTGATTGTTGCGAGAGTTGACTGTCGGTCGGTCAAACGCAAAGCGCACATGTGGCATACAACAATAAACAAAACAGCGTATGTAACAGTATTATTGTACGTTTAATTTTCATACGTTAGTCTATAGATATAGACAATATAAATAGAGTGATCTTTGTTTGTAAATGATTTCAACGGTTTGCAATTCCGGGAAGCGATAGTCACATTGAATTTAAGTAAAATAATTTAGTTTGTTTTAGTTCATCGTTACTTGTTTATAATTTTGAATACTATCTTGTAAAAATTTACATTTATATGTTATTTTGGTGTTTTATGTACATTTACTGTAACGTTTCTTTGTTATTATATTATATAAATATAATTAGTGTGGATTGTACAAGTTTAAATAAACTGTGAATATCAATAATCATTGTATATACAATCAAATTGACTTGTAAATACCCCTGCATTAATAATTTTATGAAAATCTTAGTTTCATAGTAAATACAAAACAATCATAAATACATTTAATGCAGTCAGTTCTAAGCCTGAATAAAGTATGAAGGGAAGTTAATTTATTGATTTAACTGTATAGCTAGAAACAATTAGATAGTGATTAAATTTATTTTCGTTTCGTGTGTAACTGTATAGTTCTTGGTGGTGTTTATGCAAACAATCACAGTAGCCAAATAAAAATAGCCAGTTACAAAAATCACTAGTTTTGAAACAGGTGACGCAGACCAAGTCACTGGTTTCGTTACGTTTCTTGAAAATGATGTAACGACCCACGTCTAATACAAATCATAGATATCCTCTCGTCTGTGGGATGGCAGAATTCAGCCAAGAAAAAAAGTCGCATCTGTGGACTAGCTGAATTCTGCCATTACTACACGGTCGTATTTCGCGGCAAAACTCGCATGTTTCTTTATCATTGCCAGTGCAATAAGACTGTGAGCACGGAATATAAAAAACAACTTGTTTTTTATATTCCGTGACTGTGAGTGTGTTTATTATGAACTTGGCCCTATTATATACGTTAATACTAGCAATGTCTAAAGAAGAAAAAATAAGAATCTTATCATTGAAGTTCTACTGATTTTACGTTTTGAGATCGAACATTGCTGTGATCATTTTGCTTATAAAATTGTGAATTACAAGTTATATCATGGAAAATACAATGGAGCGGTAAGTTATCATTAATTATTTATCTACTTTCGAGGCTTGTTGGCAATTTTCAGTGAGGATTTTGTAATTGAATTTGACTCTGCCTTAGGAATGACCAGCGTAATGTTGCAAGTTTTTACTTATTTAGTGACTAAATTGCTTCCAGTGTCACTATATTGTGTTCAATATGTTGTGAAACTAATATTTGAGCTAAATACAAAAGCACATAGTTATTTTGGTGGAAAAAAATGAGAAATCGCTATAAAAGTATGAACCGGTCGTTTCGTGGCTCAAATCTGCCATATCCACAGACTAGGTTTGACGTTTGTTTTAGTAACGGTGGAGAATATGGATATGCCTTTAGCAGAGATGGGAAAAATAGTTTCTAGAAGTATTTAAAAATTCATAATGCAAATTCTTGGTTAATATTTTAATTTGAAGTAAAAATACATAATAGGTTTAAATCAAAAAAGGTATTTAAATACAAAATTCAAAATACGTACTTTTATCATTAATATATAATTTAATTTCAAACAAAACAATTAAATCAGTCATTAATTGTTTTGTTTGAAATTTAGAAAAACAGAACCAGTTAGACAATTTCGAATATTACAAAGACTAATTTGAAATGAAAAATAAAAATAGATAATTTGTATTTGCATTTTAAAGACATGTATTTAAAATTATTAACTTCTGGGGTACTTTGGTCTACTTTTTGAACGGAATTGGAACATTCACGGGGCATTAGGATATGGAAAGTAATGTATTTTTGCGTCTTATATTTTCCGAAATAAATTGCAAACATTTGATCTTTGTTTCTGACCCAAAGGCATTCTGATCTTGGCAGCTACTGTTCGGCAGCTACTGTTCGGCAGCGACTGCTGGGATTCGCGGCACCGCTCTGTATGGGTTTCTATGCTGGCCTTTCCGTTATAAATTGCATGAGTCGCTCGCCGCGATCAGAATTTCACCTAGATTAAGAGCTTTTTATTAAAAAGAATGTTCTTGTGTTTGCTTGGCTTATTTTGTTTTTCTTTTACATGTTGGTATTGTCATTGATACAGTCACGGTAGTGTCAGTGGCATGATCCATACACGCGGTGGCACTAGTTCACGCAGTAGTGCACGCACACGCGGTGGTGTTCGCACATGTTGTGGCGTACGCACACTTGGTGGCACCGCAGGCGCGGAGCTTGGTGTGGACGCGGCTTGCACAATACGAGGTGGTACAGCGATACGAGGCGGGTGCGCAGCACGAGACGAACGCAGCGTGCTTGTTGTAAGTGCAAGTCATGTCACCTCCGGCGTATGAGGCAGGACCACCAACCACTATTTTTCTTGAAATCAAAAATAATATGCAGCATGTTCATCTATTGATAATATCAGAAATACTTTATTTGAAACTAATCATTCTTAGTCTTATCCATATTAGTCTTGACACATTTTGGATGTTTTTGTACTGTTTTTGTTAGCATTAATTTTATGAAAGTTTTTCTTAGAAACCCTGCAAGGTTTTTAATTCAGATTAAACCTAGTTAAATATATATCTTGAAAATAGAACAGTTTGTCCAAACAATAAACTTAATCATTCAGAAATTAATTTATTGTAACCACACATTTCTAAGTAAAAAAAAGACCCTTTTTTGTGTAACTCTTATTCTAGTTCCAGTGAGCGTACTCATGGATCACTTGTGATTTTGCTTACCTGAGAAGCTCAAGTTACTGCACAAATCTGCTTCAATACTCGATGTACTTATTTACATAAATATACGTTAAAATGTGGAGGTCACTTTTGTACAGCCTCAGAGTAGTTGGTTCAGATTTAAAGTTTTTAAACATTGTTTGCTGAAAAAAAATGTATGTAGAGCCTTAGGTTTTTGTGATAGATCTGTGAAAATATGTATTTGTTACGGCCTACGGCTGCTCCCTTAAAGGGTCAAATCCTCCGGGGCCCATGAGCAGAAGACTTCCCGAGCAGACGTAGGTCGGGCCTCAATGTGGCCACGTGGAATTTCTCTAATTACACTAAAATATATGGGGGAGCGTTCTATACTACGGCCAGTCTACCGGTAGAAGAATCAGATGGAGCTTACTTACCTATATCCAAGGCGCCTGGTCCCTCCGGAGTCGGTCTGGTCGTATGTGTTTATGTAGTGCAAGGGAAATAAGCTGATGTGATGTGTATCTGGGTGTGACTGATGGTGATTGAATCTAGACCTTGGCCGTCGGCAGCAGCCCGAGCGTCGACACCGCTCCAACTTGAGGGGGCCTTCCGAGGTGTTGTCCACAGTCACTTTCCTCGTTCGTCACGATTAACTAACTTACAGAAGCCACTAACTATCGCTGGGTATAAGGTTAACGCACAAAACGCACACGGAGTTTACGGATCAAAAGTCACTACTGTTTCGCGTAGCAACAGTTAGTTCTAGAATATTAACGGCCGCACTAGCTAATATTGCCGAATGCACCTATGCAGATTCTGAGTCGGACACAATTAGTCCCTGGGAAGCTCTCCAGCAGGAATGCGCGTCACAAAATCCTAGACCGTATATTTACGGGCCGCGCCAAATATTCCGAGTTCCCTAACAAAAAATGACAGCGTGCAGACATTAGCACAGCTAGCAGACGACTCTGCCTTTTCGCTCGCGACCCGCGCGCCACTGCCACGCTCGGCCGAACTTCAACCGGTATCGCGCCGAGCCGAGTGCCATCTGGCGTCGATTCTTGACAGCGTTTGGCGTGAACAGTATTCTTCGTGCCATATGAACTATGTGCTAGCACAGGTGCACTTTGTATTCCGTCACTGTAATAATCCGAGGCTATGGCAATCCGTCACGGCCAGAGAGATATCACGCGCAAGACTAACCGTCAATTTTCAGATTCGGGACTACTATTGAGAATTTCTTGACAGAAAATCTCAATAACTGATTTTTGGCATGACCTAGCAATAGAACATGATCAGCAGACGCGTTTACAACTGTGCGACCAATAAGCCAATAACTCGTTTTTTATTGGAGTCTCATTATCTACAGAAAAAAGACTGACATCTCGACCATTTTGTTTCTCTCATACTTTTTAGCCGGTATTTTCTTCCCAGCTAGATAGGTAACGCTCAACTAGTCAACTACAGTCTGCATCTGCAGTCCATTGTGCGTAAGTTGCTGTGAATCTAGGGGTCGATAAAAAATTCTAGTAATTTACACGGTAAATTTTAAAGATTGTTCGAATGGTCCTTTTTCAGAATCGAATTACTTTAACGAGCTTTTTGAAAACCTGTGAATAAATATTAACTCACATTTGCCCATCTCTAATATCAAATGACATAATATGACATATCGTGTTTCAATTTTTATCTTTCTCTTTCTCACGTACCTCCTCTAATCATTGTTTTCGTCTTCAATTATTTTCGTTTAGAGCCCGCAAAATAGTGGATTTATCAAACTTTTTGTATTATAGCCTAGTAAAGTTTATTTTGGGATATCAAAAATACCACAGTATTATTTTTCATAAAAACATGATACAACATTCACCAAGGAATGTCTAGAATAAGAGGAATTGATGCCAAAGTGCAAAAAAATGTGTTTCAAAGTCAACAAAAGCGTAAAAACGCATGTAATGAGGCAATTAAAATATTTAAAAATGAAGAGCATTGTTTTAATAAGGATGATACAGAAAGCAAGTATTTTTTGAATTGAATAATATATAAATAAATCGTAAATTTTGTGGGTTCAACTGCACAAAACCTACAATTGATTTCAAGGTTCTCTCAAACTTTTATAAGACTGATAGAAATCTATCACATATTTCTGGTCTAGTCCGAAAATATTCTATTGCGGAAACGCGATAATTTTCGAGCTCTTAATTTTAGAAATTCTTTTGTACTTTTGTGATGTGTACTATTTTTTAAATTAAAACACTTGTGGTGATTTTATATGAACCATTACGATCTACAAATGTTTTATGTACTTACGATACATTATTTCCACTTTTAATAACTATTTTACGATTTCAAACAATGGTATGAAATGAAATGAAGCTAGATAGGCTATGTGTTATACATAATTATTGCTTATTTTGAAGTAAGAAGCAATAATAACTAAGAGTAACACGTACAACCATAATTTAGCTGCAGCTATATTATGGTTGTAGCATGACGGGGTGGGCTTGATCGGGGAAGGACCATGCTCTCAAAGGATACCAGCGTAAAATAGCAGCTTAATGTTTCTGTGTTTCGTATGGTAATGTATGGTATAGGTAGAGAACAAGAGACCATTTTTACTGGAAATGAGACATTCCATCTTAGTCCTCAGGGGTTTTGATTCTTAATTGAGGATAAATGTAGATGTCTTTAAATACTTCACAGCATCTACTTACCATCAGGTGAACTGTGTGTTCATTTGTACTCTAATTCTATATTAAAAAAAAACATAGCCTACCCTAGCTCTGCTAACCTTCCCTGTCAAAAATTGATTGTAGATATAATGCTTCCAATATCATTTACTGACAAAAATATGGTAACAGTTAATTATGTAGTCCTTATGTTTAAAATATTTTCTTTTTAACACACTAACTTTAGAGACATTCCTCGCTCCCGATTTTTGGCCCTCTGGGGTAGTGTTTCGCCGATACAGGGACGCGCCAAAGAAAAAAGTTCCCTAAATAGTGTTATGTCTATATTTTATATATATTTTTAGGTTAAGGTATATATTGCTATGGGCCAATGTTCTTAATTCTTAAGTCCTTGATGCCTGAAATAAAGTTATTGTATTGTATTTATAAGAAACAGTAATTGAAATTATGGTATATTATGTTTTAAGTATTGATAATAAAAATGTAACAAAGTGATTTCCATGATTCTTGAAATCCATTTACAATTTTAGATAAAATAGCTTTTTCTGCAACTTCAACATTCAGTTCACTGATTTAGATATATCTTGATATTTTTAACATGGAGCACAAATTGATCAGCTCAACTGGAGATGGACTACACTTTTTTAGAATACCAGCATAAAATAGCAGCTTAATGCTGCTGTATTTTATTCACAATAGATTACTAGAATCGTAAATCGTATTATGTCATGATTCTGCTTTTACCACTCATGGGATATCACTCCTGGGATGTACTTGCAGGAAACCTAGATGGACTTTTTTAAATATTACTTTACAATATCATAATTAAGTTGTACAATTGAATATGAAAACATTAAGAAAAAGCATGTTAACAATTACTTTATTCCCAGGGGCTTAAATGATTTTTAAGCCATAGAATATCTTATCATATCAACTTATTTGTATAAGAATGTGAATACAGAATAGATCTTAATAATAATGTCTTCGATAAATCTCATAATTATATTTTAGGGTAGATTTGACCAACCATTCTAGGGATAAGCTGTTTCAAGATTCAAATCTTAAATAAAGTTGTGCATATATATTTTTCAGTGCAATTTATAGAAATTATAGCTACTTTTGGATTAACTTTAGATGAGTAGCAGAGTGAATGATGAATAACCCTTGCATTTTTCTATTATAGTATATGTAACTTAAAAAAAAACCCAAAACAAAAAGAGCTGATGATCTCCAAACGTCTGAATAGATTTTCTTGAAACACAGCCAAGAATGTTCTCAATTGAGACACCTTACAAACAAAAAAACTTAATCAAAATTGGGTTATCCGTTAATGAGCTACAATGCCACAGACGGACACACAGATACACATACACACACTACAAACACATAACACCCCTTTGTTTTAGTTGAGAGTTAAAAATAGCTGTCAACAAGTGTCAATGTTGTGTTCTATATTTGTTTTTATTGTGTATATAATTTCTTGATGTTATTCAGTCCAGGCATGTGAAATATAAAATTATATCTCACAAAATGAGATTAAAATTGACACTGAGTAATACCAATGAAGAAACATGGGACACCATTAAAATATTCCGGGAATAACTCTTTTATTCCATGTGAAACATATGGTTTAGTAACTAATCACGAATATGTTCACTATCATGATTAAATGGTGATTTATTCTAAGAATAAAACTTATTCTCATTTGTTCAAATCCGCCCTAAATTCAACAAATGCCTAAAGTTTATCCTACAAGTGTATTTATTTGTGTACATTCTTCGGACTGTTTATTTCTTTCAAATTGTCAATTATCACAAAATAATTACTGTTATATTTGAATTTGAAAATAAAATAATTAATATAAATTGGTAAAATAAATCTTGTGTGATATAGCCTATCGTTAGTTGATGATTGTTCTACTATTTTCATATGGTAGTATGTTCTTAAAATTATGAAATTTACAGAACAACAGATCAATGAGTTGCTTCACAATTTGCCAACCTTGGACAAAATATTTGAAGTCCATCGCAAGATTGGTGAAGGCACATTCAGTTCCGTATACTTGGGCTCATTGCGGCGTCATGCAATACTTCCAGCTTCAGAGCGTCGCTGGTTTGCTATCAAGCATCTCGTGCCCACAGCCCACCCTGCCCGTATTGAACACGAGTTGAAATGTCTGCAAGATATGGGGTACGTAGAATAATTTCTTTAAAAAAAAGTGCCTGCATTTATTCAAGACCTATTTTTTTTATTTTCAATATTTTAAACATTTTATTTTGCAGTGGAAAGAACAATGTAATAAGTGTGGACCTTTGTTTACGCCACTTTGATACAATAGTATTTGTAATGCCTTATATACCTCACAGGAAGTTTTCTGTAAGTATGCTGCCTTAATGAATTTTATTTATTTACACATTTCACAAAAAGATTACCAAGGAGGCTAATGCCTTTAGGCATTCTCTCCGAGTCATTTAGTTCTTTTTTCATTAAAAAGAAATGTTATCTGAACAGTAGGATTTTCCCCAACATTGTGGAACATCCCATTTTACTTATAATGTGTATAAAATGCATAGAAACAAATAATCATTTACAGGCAATACAACTTATTCTATATCAGATTCCAACTCCCAGCACTGCAGTGACACAACTAAACCTTTTGCGACCGTACCACAGAAACTACAAATGATTATTACCAATTGTTTTATTACAATTTTATGTGTGACCACTGGACATGAACTTTCCCATAGTGGGACTGATTTTCTCTCTTGTGTACAGTTTCTGTGTTATATGCCTTGCATCTTTGTTGTTGATGGTGTAATAAATAAGTTTCAAAATGGATTGTTCAAATTATAATATAATATAGCCAAATACCTGAGTTAATATTACTAATTTCGGTGATTGTAATTATGAATATATCTGATTAAAATACGAAGCTAATGAAAACTACTCATTTATTATTATGATTATCAGAAACTCACTATTTTCATACTATATAAATTAAGTGATTCAAATTTTCATTATGGTACTACAATTGTGACCATAGAGAAAGAAGACATTTTCAATTTTCAAAGCGATTGGTAACTGGTATTTGGAAGTAATTGGAAGTAAAGACTAGAAATGAGTTGGGGGTGACTCGAACTTTAGGCTTAGTCAGTTTGAATAGCCTATCATGTAGAGGATATCACGGGGGTCATGGTTGAATAGGGGCAAAAAGTTCTCATTACACTCCTAGGGGGTCTAAAAGGGCCAAAAAACAAAAAAATTCAATTCTTATTTCGGCTATAATACCGCCTCCTTTAGAGGTTCTTACACAGTCTTTACTTTCCGCATCCCACAAGTGGTAAAATTGAAAATTTTGTACAACCGACTTCAATATATGGATAACTGCAACTACTGGTCAGACCTGGATCAAATTTATATGCGACCACATGAGAAGCACCAGCTTTCAAATAATAAAAGAATCATCAAAATCACTTCGAAAAAAGTTCTGAGGTAAAAATCTTTAAAAGGAAATACATACGAATTGAGTACCTCCTCCTTTTTTGAAATCGCTTAAAAAGTGAAAATTGCGTTGAGATCTTCATGTTTTTTTTAATATAATTTTGTAGCCCAAAACCTGGTAGTTGTAACTAAAAATTAAAATGCCTTTTATCTTTCATCCTTGGTGTATTGCTGTGCATTTGCGGCAGATATTCAACAATAGGCCCAGTTACTTTTTATTGTATGAGAACAGTAATTATATTAATAGCAGTTTATTATTAGGATTTATTAGAACTTCGTTGTTTGGCCTGTAATTGTACGTATACCTGTAATTGACCGTGTACCTGTAATTCAGGCAGATTGACAGAAAACCTTCTTGTCAATTACAGGAATATTTTGGAGAAATGGACGCAAGCGAGCTGCGGCAATATATGCGCGCGCTGCTGGTAGCACTGCGACACGTGCACTCGTTTGGTGTCATCCATAGAGATGTGAAGCCTAGCAATTTTCTATATGATAGGGAGAATAGAAGGTAAAGTGTTTTTTTTTATACTATAAGGGTGACAAACGAGCACACAGTCCACCACAAATGCGTTGAAAAAATCTTACACGTTTTCTCGTCTAGCCCAAATTCGTACCGTTCGATAAGGAACTTCCTTCCAGAACTTTCTATTTCTATTCGAAATTTTCTTCAAGAATACTTAATAATTTTTACGTTGTATAGCCACAAATGAGTCGGCTCGATAGGGGAAGGACCACATTCTCACAGAATACCAGCAGAAAATAGCAGCTTAATGGTGCTGTTTTGTATGGTGAGTGTAAAGATCCGGACACCCTTTTTACTGGAAATGAGGCATTCCATCTTATTTCTCACGGGCGACAACGCATCTGCATTTTAATTCGTAATTGAGAATAAATGTAGATGTCTATGGACCACAGCAACCGTTTACTATCAGGACTGTGTGCTTGTTTGTCACCTATATCCTATAAAAAAACTAAACAAATTATGTAACTATTGAATAGTATTACAATAAATATTATTGATAGGTATTTACTGGTGGACTTCGGTTTAGCGCAACGAATATGCGTGGCGCCTGACGAGCCGCCCGTTCCCTTAAATTCAAACAAGCGAGTGAGAGACGAAATGGAGGTAATTTGAGTAGTATTACTTACTTTAATATTTCCATCCATATCCATTATTACAGCTTTTGAAATTCTACTACTGAACATAGGCCATTACTATAGATTGCCTCATCGGGAGAATTTTGCCATAGTTACCACGCTTGGCAGGCGGGTTGGTAACCTCAGTTTATTATTGTTTTGAGTTGTTTTCATCAGAAATATGCTGCTGCCCATCTTCTGTTTTAATTTCCCGCTGTCGCCTCTTACGACACCCCTGGGACGATATGGGGAAGTGGATATTCTCACTCCACCACTTCACGGCTTACTTTAATTATCTTGCTTATTTTATCAATCTTTTCACATTAAACCTCAAGTGTTCTTATCAGCTGAATGCCGATGATCTACAACTATATGCGCTAAACGAAGATTTACATTAAATCTTTGAATGGTCCACTGTGTTTGGAATAAACGTGAATCCTTCTAAAAGTCAAGTGATCATTTTAGGTAGCTCTAGATACTTATCCAAATTAGATATCTCCACTTTGCCGTTTATTTCGTACAACTAGAACGCTATCCCATACTCTCCACATGTTAAGAATCTTGGTCTGTACGTTGATAGCTGTCTTTCATGGAACAAGCAGATCCAGGAGATAAGCTGCAAAGTTACTGCAACATAGCGATGTCTTTATTGCCTCAAAATTTCTCTTCGTACCGCTACAAAAGTTTTGCTTGATCAATCTCTTATTCTGCCGATAATAGATTATGTATATGTGTTTGCACAGACTTATCTCAACAGCATCTTAACACATTGGATCATCTCCTCAATAACTGCATCACATACATTTATGGTATTCGTAAGTATGACCATGTACTTTTCGTACTCAGCTTAACTGGCTGTCCATCTGTCAGCGCAGATATGTTAGAATACTGTTACGAGCTTGGGGTTCGAGATAATTAAAAAACTGCCAAGTGAATTACCAAAATTGACACTTTAATTACACAACACTAATTACAACTTAAAACCACACTAATAACAAAACACAATTGTACAACTGATCACTTAATAATAATAATAGTATAGGTAATAGTAATAGGACTGTTATTTTGCTAAGGAGTTCGTCTAGGTGGGTACCGCCTTCTTATCTATTTTTCCCGCCAAAGAGTAGTGCTTGAACTGTTGTCTTCCAGTCTAAAGGGCATAGTTACAAACTGTAAGACATTCCATCTTAGTCTTTAGAGGTGACAATGCATCTTTACCATTCCTTGGTACTATTGTAACTTCGTTTGTTAATTCACTTTTAGGAAATTAGAAAAATGAAATGTTAATGTTATAATTATTTTTTTTTCAAATACCCTCCCATTTCTTATTTAGTTACGTTTGTTTCATATGTTCATTTTCCAGGATGATTCAACGCCAGGTGCAAAGAGAATGGCAGTAGATCTTACCGTGTGCCCGAAAAATATGGATGTTAGTGAACCAATTCCGAAAAGATTAGCATGTCCACCGAAGGTGCAAATTCCGAAGGCAACGGCTGTCAAGGTTGGTCCTTTTCCTCATCATTAAAGTGCGAGTGGGTGGACGACGTACTAATTTCAACTTACCTGATCACACAAAACATCCATGTTTGTTACCGAAACAATCTATTTTATCTGGAATTATTAGCTATTATCATAAACCCGCAAAAGGTTTCAAAATATATATTATCTATACAAATAAATAAAATTGAAGTATCTGTTTGTAATGTCAAGCTTTTTACTAAATGCATATATAAAAGTAACAGTACTTCAAATACAAAAGTACTTCACATACAAATAAAAAAGTTTTTGTCTGTCTGTCTCTTTGTTTGTACCGGCTAATCTTCGAAATAGCTGGACAGGTCTTGACGAAACTTTCACCGGCATATAACTGATGTTATAAGAAGTAACTTTTATATTAGTAAACGAATTAGGGTATCGCGCAAAAAAATTAAAACTAGATCTGAAATATAGGGGATAGTTGTAACGCCATTTATAGTAAGTCTTTGTTGTTTCTGAAATGCATCGATAGTTTCTCTTACACCGTATCCACACGGCAACTGTCTTTATACTTATATAAAATATATATAATAAATAATAAAAACTAGTGTTCGCCAAATGGTCGCAATTCGACCGTAATTAATTAAATTTTTAAGTTGTATGTTAAGTAATTTGTATTTCACTTTCAACTGCACATTATCTCATATAATAAACCAAACGCTTTTTGCATTCACATACACTCCACAGACTATTGAAAAAGAAATTGAAATCACACAAAATTAAGTAGTTATTATTTGTTGACAATATTTTATAATTATTTAGTGACAGTCTGTATTCTGTGCGATTGTTTGACCACAGTCTATTGTGTTTGACATTGGTAGCATGAACATTAAATACGAATATTTAATTTAATTTAATATAATACATTTGTAACATATATTATACTAGCTGGCCAGGCAGACATTGTTTTGCCCTCTCCGACGACTCTTTGTCCTATAAAAATCCTTAACTAAGTTGCACCAAACTGCACACAGTGTGCAAAACTTCATTGAAATCAGTTCAGTAGTTTAGGAGTTCATCGCGGACAAACAATGTGACACGTAATTTTTATATATAAAGATTGAGATTTTAGCTTTCTGCATTCTTTTCCCATATACATTTTAACTACGCTAAATCTCACACTCCTCCGTACACACAATCTGCTTTGAAAATTACTAATATGAGCATCAAAATGTGGCTTCGAGTTAGATAGTATTCCCAGGTCTTTTATTATGGAGACTTTTTGTAAGGGAGTGTTACAAAGAGAGTATGTGAAATGGATGACATTAATATTTTTAGTGAATGTGATAGATTTACATTTTGATAAACCCAACTGTAAATTGTTAACTGCACAATAAGCAGACAAACGATCTAGATCACTTTACAATTCATAACAATCTTCAGTTGTGTTTATTTTCCGAAAAAATATAAGGTCGTCAGCATATAAGAGAAAATGGGTATTTTTGAAGCAGGTATTAATGTCATTTATGAAGTGAACAGATAGCAACGGCCCCAAAATTGATCCCTGTGGTACTCCAGATGTCACATCTATCACATCTGAAGAAAAGCTATTGGCCACAACCTTTTACGTTCTATTTTTTTCATAAGAAGCAAACCAGCGCAATAAATTCCCACGTATACCATTAAATGCGATTTTTTGTAGTAGTATAGTATGGTCCACCTTGTCAAAGGCTTTACAGAAATTAGTATAAATGGTGTCAACTTTGAGTCGGTTATCTACATTTTCAAATAAGAAGTTAGCGTATAAAGCCAAATTACTTACCGTGAAGCGATTTCGAACAAAACCATGTTGCTCAGGAATAATAGTACTATACAGATATGGATAGACAGTATGGTGGATCAATGTCTCCAGCACTTTTGTCAACGTGGACAAAATGGATATTGGACAATAGTTTTTTTTTTTTATAGGAGAGGGGGCAAACGAGCATGAGGCTCACCTGATGGTAAGTGACTACCGCCGCCCATGAACAACTACAACACCAGGGGAACCAGGGGAATTGCAGATGCGTTACCAGCCTTTTAAAAAGCAGTAGGCTCTTTTCTTGAAGGTCCCTAAGTCGTATCGGTCCGGAAAAACCGCTGGCGGTTATCGATTCCACAAGGAAGTTGTGCGAGGAAGAAAACACCTTCTAAATTGCACAGTGGTGGACTGCCAATCATCCAGATGGTGTGGATGGTATCGGGTAAATACTGTCCCGCTCTGCTGAGCAAGCCAAGCTTTTTAGAGGTCAATTTAGTCTTCTCTTCCCAGTGACCACGAAACTGAACGTCACTCGATATGTTGACGCTAAGGATTCCGAAACTGGCTGAGGCAACAACGTGAGTGCCTTGAAACTGAGGAGATACGACAAAGGGGTTCTTTTTAGCGGTAAACGCGCAAACTTGTGTCTTTTGAAGATTAAACTGGACTAGATTTAGTCGCTCCCAATCCGAGAGTTTATTCAGCAAAGACTCGACTTCAGACACAAGTTTGTTCCGGTACTCGGCGATGTTTTTCCGAGAAATATTGGCACGGCCGGTGTATAGAGAGAGCGTCACCAGTGCTGTCATCCGCATAGCAATGAGTGTTACCGGTTAGCAACATATCATTGATATGCAGAAGAAACAGCGTTGGTGATAGCACGCAGCCTTGTGGAACACCAGCGTTAATAGGCTTGGCTTTTAGTCGGAGCATGCACCGTCTACAATGACCTCGATGCTCCGATCTACAAGGAAGCTGGTGATTGCACAATTTCTCGGGAAGCCCATAGGAAGGGAGCTTCGAAAGAAGCGCTTTGTGCTAAACCCGATCGCAGGCGTTCGCAATGTCCAAACTAACGGCCAACGGACTCTACTGCCTTCGCCCATCTATGAGTCAGGTAGACCAGAAGATCACCAGCTGATCGACCCCGACGAAAACCATATTGGCTGTCACTAATCAGCTGGTGATCCTCAAGGTACCGCATGAGCTGGCAGTTAATAATGGATTCCATTATTTTGGAGAACAAGGAGGTGATGGCGATAGGTCTGTAGTTAGACGGGTCTGAGAGTTCGCCTTTTTTAGGGATCGGGTGGACAAAAGCTGTCTTCCATGATATCGGGACTACGCCTAGGGAGTAGGAGTACCGGAAAAGACGCGTTAGAACCGGTGCTAACTCCGTAGCATACGTCTTCAGCGCAATTGGGAGGATTCCGTCAGGCCCACTCGACTTGTGGATGTCAAGGGAGAGGAGTGCTTTGCGAACCGAACGCTGTGAGAACAGCACATTCGGCATGGAGCACTCACACCGCGGGATGGTCGGCGATGTGTTCTCATCGAGAGTCGAGTTGGACGCAAAAAGGGAGCCTAAAAGGTCGGCTTTCTCTTTTGCGGCATGGGCCAGTGAGTCGTCCTCTCTGTGCAGAGATGGAAGAGATGGCTTACAGAAATCCCCTTGGACAGCCTTGGCGAGAGACCAGAATGCACGGGTTCCCGAAGGAAGGCGAATTAGTTTCTCGCCAATTCTACCTATGAGCTCTGACTTTGCCTTGGCAATAACTCTTTTGAAGGATCTGGAGGCGAAGTTATACTTCTTTTTAAGCATAAGCTGGTGTTTACATCTCAAGCCGCCGAAGCCTAAGTCCAGGCCTGATAACACTTCTGCTTACTGCGTGATGCAGTAAGCTTCTGTAAGGAGCAACTAAACCAAGGCTGAGATCCTCCGATGCACTGCGTTGCACCACATCAGTGACAGAGTTAGCAACAGCGCTGGGATCATCCGGTGAGAAGCAAACCCGCCCCCATGGGTAGGATGTAAAGAAAGACCGTATTCCGTCCCAATCCGCCGACCTATAATTCCAAACACGGTGGCAGCGTGCAGAACGCAACCGCGAGGGGAGCGGTAGTGGCACCACATTCCGGATCAGACAATGGTCCATAGAGCCGAGAGGGGCATCGACGGAAACCTGATATCCGTCCCGATGAGAGGTCAGTAGAATGTCCAACAGGGAAGGTGTATGATCCTCCACATTTGGAATCCGCGTGGGCAAAGTAACCAGTTGTGTCAGACCATATGTCAAGGCAAAGTCATAAACAGATCTCCTCGCATGATCGGTTAAACGCGAACCGAGCCATTCGGTGTGGTGGGCGTTAAAATCGACAAGGATCACGATCTCTGCGGATGACCTGTTGTAGCTAGGAATCAGAAGCCATTTGAACGTGGTCAATGAGTCGGTCTGTTTCGACATTACTGCCGAGGAGTCGAAAACAGATGTCCTCTCTGACGTATACACAAACTCCAGCCTGAGACACAAAGGAGTGCTCCAATTTGTACCCCGACTAGGAGAGATATGAAGTATCAGCCGGAGAGGACACCTGCGTCTCGGTCAGATAGAGCAAGGCCGGCTTCGCCGTCTCGAGATGGTACTGGACGGCGTTTTGGTTCGAGTGAAGTCCCCTGATGTTGCAGATATTCACGGATAGCGTGGCAGGGGTCGCCTTGGTCTTGGTTCAGTTTGCCCCGAGCAGTTATTGTTTTGAGCGGAATTTTGCTGCTGAAAACTGTAGGTGTGTGTGTATGTGTGCAGGAGGTGGGGGGCGCGTGCTTGTGCCGTGGCGCGGCGGGCGCGTGCTGGGGGCGGGGCTGCGCCGCCTGGCCGGCCGCCCGCGCGCCGCGCGCCGGCACGCAGGGCTTCCGGCCGCCCGAGGTGCTGCTCAAGTGGGCGCGCCAGAGCGCCGCCGTCGACCTGTGGGCCGCCGGCGTCGTGCTCGCCACCGTGCTCGCCAACAGGTGAGCAGCGCACCACAGCACCACAGCACCACACAGCACCACCACCGCGCCCGGCACGCAGGGCTTCCGGCCGCCCGAGGTGCTGCTCAAGTGGGCGCGCCAGAGCGCCGCCGTCGACCTGTGGGCCGCCGGCGTCGTGCTCGCCACCGTGCTCGCCAACAGGTGAGCAGCGCACCACAGCACCACAGCACCACACAGCACCACCACCGCGCCCGGCACGCAGGGCTTCCGGCCGCCCGAGGTGCTGCTCAAGTGGGCGCGCCAGAGCGCCGCCGTCGACCTGTGGGCCGCCGGCGTCGTGCTCGCCACCGTGCTCGCCAACAGGTGAGCAGCGCACCACAGCACCACAGCACCACACAGCACCACCACCGCGCCCGGCACGCAGGGCTTCCGGCCGCCCGAGGTGCTGCTCAAGTGGGCGCGCCAGAGCGCCGCCGTCGACCTGTGGGCCGCCGGCGTCGTGCTCGCCACCGTGCTCGCCAACAGGTGAGCAGCGCACCACAGCACCACAGCACCACACAGCACCACCACCGCGCCCGGCACGCAGGGCTTCCGGCCGCCCGAGGTGCTGCTCAAGTGGGCGCGCCAGAGCGCCGCCGTCGACCTGTGGGCCGCCGGCGTCGTGCTCGCCACCGTGCTCGCCAACAGGTGAGCAGCGCACCACAGCACCACAGCACCACACAGCACCACCACCGCGCCCGGCACGCAGGGCTTCCGGCCGCCCGAGGTGCTGCTCAAGTGGGCGCGCCAGAGCGCCGCCGTCGACCTGTGGGCCGCCGGCGTCGTGCTCGCCACCGTGCTCGCCAACAGGTGAGCAGCGCACCACAGCACCACAGCACCACACAGCACCACCACCGCGCCCGGCACGCAGGGCTTCCGGCCGCCCGAGGTGCTGCTCAAGTGGGCGCGCCAGAGCGCCGCCGTCGACCTGTGGGCCGCCGGCGTCGTGCTCGCCACCGTGCTCGCCAACAGGTGAGCAGCGCACCACAGCACCACAGCACCACACAGCACCACCACCGCGCCCGGCACGCAGGGCTTCCGGCCGCCCGAGGTGCTGCTCAAGTGGGCGCGCCAGAGCGCCGCCGTCGACCTGTGGGCCGCCGGCGTCGTGCTCGCCACCGTGCTCGCCAACAGGTGAGCAGCGCACCACAGCACCACAGCACCACACAGCACCACCACCGCGCCCGGCACGCAGGGCTTCCGGCCGCCCGAGGTGCTGCTCAAGTGGGCGCGCCAGAGCGCCGCCGTCGACCTGTGGGCCGCCGGCGTCGTGCTCGCCACCGTGCTCGCCAACAGGTGAGCAGCGCACCACAGCACCACAGCACCACACAGCACCACCACCGCGCCCGGCACGCAGGGCTTCCGGCCGCCCGAGGTGCTGCTCAAGTGGGCGCGCCAGAGCGCCGCCGTCGACCTGTGGGCCGCCGGCGTCGTGCTCGCCACCGTGCTCGCCAACAGGTGAGCAGCGCACCACAGCACCACAGCACCACACAGCACCACCACCGCGCCCGGCACGCAGGGCTTCCGGCCGCCCGAGGTGCTGCTCAAGTGGGCGCGCCAGAGCGCCGCCGTCGACCTGTGGGCCGCCGGCGTCGTGCTCGCCACCGTGCTCGCCAACAGGTGAGCAGCGCACCACAGCACCACAGCACCACAGCACCACACAGCACCACCACCGCGCCCGGCACGCAGGGCTTCCGGCCGCCCGAGGTGCTGCTCAAGTGGGCGCGCCAGAGCGCCGCCGTCGACCTGTGGGCCGCCGGCGTCGTGCTCGCCACCGTGCTCGCCAACAGGTGAGCAGCGCACCACAGCACCACACAGCACCACCACCGCGCCCGGCACGCAGGGCTTCCGGCCGCCCGAGGTGCTGCTCAAGTGGGCGCGCCAGAGCGCCGCCGTCGACCTGTGGGCCGCCGGCGTCGTGCTCGCCACCGTGCTCGCCAACAGGTGAGCAGCGCACCACAGCACCACAGCACCACACAGCACCACCACCGCGCCCGGCACGCAGGGCTTCCGGCCGCCCGAGGTGCTGCTCAAGTGGGCGCGCCAGAGCGCCGCCGTCGACCTGTGGGCCGCCGGCGTCGTGCTCGCCACCGTGCTCGCCAACAGGTGAGCAGCGCACCACAGCACCACAGCACCACACAGCACCACCACCGCGCCCGGCACGCAGGGCTTCCGGCCGCCCGAGGTGCTGCTCAAGTGGGCGCGCCAGAGCGCCGCCGTCGACCTGTGGGCCGCCGGCGTCGTGCTCGCCACCGTGCTCGCCAACAGGTGAGCAGCGCACCACAGCACCACAGCACCACACAGCACCACCACCGCGCCCGGCACGCAGGGCTTCCGGCCGCCCGAGGTGCTGCTCAAGTGGGCGCGCCAGAGCGCCGCCGTCGACCTGTGGGCCGCCGGCGTCGTGCTCGCCACCGTGCTCGCCAACAGGTGAGCAGCGCACCACAGCACCACAGCACCACACAGCACCACCACCGCGCCCGGCACGCAGGGCTTCCGGCCGCCCGAGGTGCTGCTCAAGTGGGCGCGCCAGAGCGCCGCCGTCGACCTGTGGGCCGCCGGCGTCGTGCTCGCCACCGTGCTCGCCAACAGGTGAGCAGCGCACCACAGCACCACAGCACCACACAGCACCACCACCGCGCCCGGCACGCAGGGCTTCCGGCCGCCCGAGGTGCTGCTCAAGTGGGCGCGCCAGAGCGCCGCCGTCGACCTGTGGGCCGCCGGCGTCGTGCTCGCCACCGTGCTCGCCAACAGGTGAGCAGCGCACCACAGCACCACAGCACCACACAGCACCACCACCGCGCCCGGCACGCAGGGCTTCCGGCCGCCCGAGGTGCTGCTCAAGTGGGCGCGCCAGAGCGCCGCCGTCGACGTGAGCAGCGCACTACACAGCACCACCACCATTAGTAATGCCTACACCAGCACCAACACTCAGTAAGTGCCAACAGCACCACCAGCACGGCTAGTATCGATAGCACCAATAGCACCAGGTCTGATGAACACCACCAGCATTATCAGTACCATGAACACTACCAACACTTCCAGCATAAGCTCCATAGCGAAGTTGCTTAGCAGTGAGTTGCAGCGCTTAGGATATTTGTAAAGCCTACTAATAATTGTTCCGGGTCTGGAAATTTGTTCTTGTGAAATTTATATTTGTAAACTGCCTCCACGATAGAAAAAAATATCGTACCGTTTTTTTTAATTAAATAGAAACACCGCGCCCTACTGAGCTAACCGTATTATCCCGGCTAATCGTATTCCTTCTGGAATACGAAGGTGACATTGACAGTTCTTAGAAAATCAAAAACTGAAAAAACTAGCAAGTTATTAGTTTTATTATATCTTTTGAAAATAGTTTCCATTTACATCAATACATCGTCGTTGCATCCGATAGAACCTCTGAGAAAAGCAGCTAGCGCCAGCGGGTCCCGTCCTCGGCAACCTGCCCCTTCAGTCGCACCGATCTACGGTGACGCAACCCGCGCCCTCTCAGGCCTTCACCAAACCCGCCCCCGCTACAAGGGTGACACTGAGAATTCTTAGAAAATCAAAAACTGAACAAACTAGCCATTTATTAGTTTTATTATATCTTTTCAAAATAGTGTCCATTTACATCAATACATCGCTGCATCCGATGGAACCACTGAGAAAAGCACTTTGTCCACTCGTCCTTGGAGGTCTCTTCGACGGCATTTTGAAACGCAGCCACTGCTTCCTCGGCGTCCATAAAACGTTTTCCTCGAAATATTTCTTTTATTTTCGGAAATAAATAACAATCACAAGGTGCGAGGTCGGGGCTATAGGGCGGATGACCCAGTAATTATACGCCTGACTTCGCCAAGTAGTCGATTGTTTTCTTGGCGGTGTGCGACGAGGCGTTGTCGTGGTAAATACTGGTCCTACTGCGAGGTCGTTTCTCATGAACTTTTTCCAAGACAAGTGGCAAACAATTGTTAGTGTACCACTCTGCAGTAACTGTTTTTCGCTTCTCTAAAACATTTGTTGCGTAATGACCTGTCCTTCCGAAGAACGAGGCCACCATCTTTTTTCCCACGCTTCGGTCTCTCTTTACTTTAGTTGGCAACTCCTTAGAAGGAAACACCCAGACAGCAGACTGTCTATTAGTTTCAGGATCATAACAATAAATCCAGCTTTCAGCATCCGTAAGTATGTCGAACACAGCATTTGAGTCACCTCCGTTAAATCTTTGAACTGTTTTACGACACCAATCAACACGACGGAGTTTCTCTGTCAAATTGTAAGGTATCCACCGGGCACAAAGCTTCCTGACTGCTAAATGTTCATGGAGAATTTTGTGCACTTGACTCATACCGAATCTTGTCCGATTCTGTTGATAAGGCACTCTTTTGTCAGTCTCTATCATACGCCGCATAACGCTGATGTTATCTTTAGTTGTCGCCGTAGAAGGCCGTCCTTCACGCAGATCATTGATGAGATTAGTGCGACTACGTTTAAACTCATTAACCCGGTTGTAAACAGTGGCACGAGATGTGGCTACATCGTGAAAGACCGATCGAAGTCTATCATAACTTTCTTGTTGACTTAAATGACATCGAAAGTCATAAAAAATCATTAAGTATACGAAAATTTTCTCGCATTAAATTCATATTGACGTGACGCAGACAATTTTAAAATTGCCGCCAAATCGTAAACAAATGACAAATCAATAAAATACATACACAATAATGTCAATATTATTGTGTATGTATTTTATTAATTTGTCTTGTCTTGTAAATTTTTTATTAATTTTATTTTTTTATTAAGAGTTCCATTTTGAAAATTTGAACTTATATATATCGTTTATATCGGTTACAAATGGCCAGTTCTAAAAACTTTCAGTGTCTTGTAAAACATGTAAAGTCAACGAATGAAAATCAACGGTGCAAGCTCGCGTCTTATGCTGAGACGGTCCCTTTCAACACTTCATCATATCACACGATTTTTGTTTTAATATGTTGTGTGTTTTCTTTTGCTGAGCTGTGATAGGCCATTTTTTATTACTTTTATTAGGTTACATGAGGTATCTTTTTAGACTGTGTGCAGATATTTTTTGTACATTTTTAACAAACATGTGTGAATTGAGACAAGTAAAATTTTTATTATAGTATGTGAGGGTAATATGGTCATCCGGTTAATATGGTCACTTTCTTATAACTCAAAAACTACAGCCTTAAAAACTACAAACTACAATCAAAAGGGCGCCGCTTCATCGACGACATTTTGACAGTTATATTATAGTAAATATTTTATTCAATTTTAGTATTGGGTAGTGTAGTTAGATTTTTTTAGTCGATTTTTCAAAGTGTTTCTAATTATTACCAAAGCTTGTTTGCTATTTTTTTCTTAATATATTACTTATAGTATACGACATTGTGTATTTGTCTCTGTCCTCCTCCTGGTTTTAGTTCTATAGGGCGGCAAAGCTTAACGTGATTATATTACTCTCACGTACCTTATTATGTATTATTATCATTAAATAACAAAATAAAGATGTTTCGTGTGGTCACGAAAGGTACCCGTTCTTCCGCGCGGCGGACGATTATTCTGCGTTAGCCGAGGTGGCCGATCTACTGGGTACCGACGCCGTACAGCGTACTGCCGAGGCCCTGGGTAAGGTCCCATTCTTCCTCTTCATTTGGGCTACTTCCATGGTCCACAATCCCTCAAACTAATCCAATACAAGATTTTTTTTTAATAATAATTCTTATGGAAAGTGCTTTTACTTAGTAGAGAATATGGTAGAGTGTGGAGAATGGATGGCCCCTTTTATTGAAAACGAGGCACTCCATCTTAGTCCTCAGGAGGACAACACATCTGCATTTTGATTCTTAATCGAGCAAAAACGTAGATCTATGGGCCGCACCATCCACTTACTATCAGGGGGCTGTGTGCGCGCTTGTCACTCTTTTTCTATGAAAAAAAAAACAGGACGGCGCGTGATGACGTCAATGCGACGGCCCGGCCTTTGCCTTCGTAAGCTGAGCGCGCGCTTGCGCCGTGTGCCCCCCGCGCCCCCTGCAGTCGGCACGCCCCCTGCGCCCCCCGGGGCCCCCGCGCCCCCCGGGGCCCCCGCGCCCCCCGCACCCCCTGCGAGTAAGTGCGTCGGCTGCCAGCTCGCGCGCGACCTCTGCCTGTGTCCGGATGAAAACGTACCGGTAAGTACGCACGCGTTGCTCGTTTCTTTTTCCTATAGGTTTATGACTTACTGCTATAACTTCAACTTCAGTAAGAATTACTGTTACACTCTATAAAGTCCTACTGCTGAACACAGGCCTTCCCCATAGATTGTCTCTCAGAGGGTTGGAGGTTGGCAACTGCAGTTTTGTATTTTTAGTCATTATTAAGTAGACGCTGCAGCCCATCTCCTGATTTGTTTCCCTTTGGCGTCTCGTACGACACCGAAATATAATTTTTGAAACACCATGACTACAAATAAAACAATTTCGTCGGTTTTTTGTTGATACTTTATGTTAACTGTGCTCATAGGTGGGTAGCAACTATTATGCCTATAGTCTTTGCGTTATAGCATGGTGCGGGTGACAGCTTACACTTTTGGCGTGTCTAGAGATGGAACATTGTTAAATCGATTTAAAAAAAGGCGGTTAATACACAAAGCAGAGCAAAAATTATCGATGAGCTATCGATATAAAAATTAAAACCGAAACATATATTTCTTTATAAACTACAATACATGTAAAATTACCTAAAATTTTAATACAAATGATGACATAATAGCTGTTCCTTATTACGATTGAATTTCATGGGTTTTAATTTTTTGCGCGGATTCCTAATTTTTTTTTCTAAACTTAAATTAGCCTGTGTTACTCCTTATAACATCAGATATCTGTCAATGCCAGCTATAAGCCGGAACAAACAGACAGTAAAAATTATTTTTGTCTTTTTGTTATAAATATCTTATATAATTTCGTATATATTTAGTAAAAGGCTGTTATTTTGATATTACAAACAGACACTTCAATGTATAGATTATACTATGTATTAATTTGAAAATAAAAATCATCCTCTATTTCATGTTGATTGCAACATTCATATTGACATTTAAACAAATAAAATGGCTGCCAGCGTCTGTCATTTTCAGTACGACGTTGACTGCATCTTTTCAAGGTAGGAGTGCTAACGCCTTTTGCTATATGTGTATTAGTTTTCTAAGGTCCAATGGGCCAAATATCGGGACGGAAGGTAAAATAATCGAGGATTTGGTTTATAAATCTAATGAAATAAAAAAAAAAATAGGTTTTTTGTGGCCATATTGGCCGCCATGAGTTATGATAAAGTCTTTTTGAAACAATGCGTAATTTGCTTTATAATATTTTTTTTTGCCTGAGCTGTCCAACGAATAATTTATCGTCCATTCATCGGAGACACTGCATAATATTCGTCTATGTGAGTTTTGTTTCCGTAACTCAGAATTTTTTTGAACGATTAGTTCCAATTACAATACATAATTACGTGATTTTTATATATTCGATTTATTTCAAAACCGATTTTTGATAGTCTGTGGTTGTTCGTAATGGCGTTCCATAGTTTAGCGTGGCATATCACTGTCGTAAGTGGGCGGTACCCATTCATAAAGTACAACAATATCTGTATGACAGTTTATCTAAAAAAATACAAAACGTCATAGGCGTGAGCTGTCACCCGCACAATGCTATAACGCAAAGACTATAGTTATTATAGATTTTTAAAAAAAACTTATAATTTCGCCTTTAGTGTACAATTTGTCAAAAAAATGTCTATATATTTGGTATAAAAAATTGTGGTAAAATGGTGATTGGTGGTATTATTTTTTTTTAATCATGCCTTAAAGGTGGTACGTGGGACAAAAAATGTTTTATCCAACTTAAAACTTTAATTTTTTTAGTTCTACTGTAAGACATTTTAAGGTAATTCATTAATTATCGAACACCTGTATGTGTAGAGTCCGTCACCTTGCACTGGAGTGGCACGGCTGACACTTTTGCCTCCATTTTCTTCGAATATTTTATTCTTGAGCCATATCCCAACAATATTATGGTAGCACAAATGGGTCGGCTCAACCGGAAAGATCCACGCTCTCACAGAATACCAACGTAAAATAGCAGCTTAACGCTGCTGTGTTTCGTATGGCGAATGGATCCATTTAACTGGAACCGAGTCATTCCATATTAGATCTCAGGGGTGACAATGCATCTGCATTTTGATTCTTAATCGAGGAGAGATGTAGTTATCTATGGACCACAGCATCCACTTACCATCAGGTAGGCTGTGTGCTTGTGTGTTACCCTTGTTCTATAAAAAAATACATAAACTATTCTTATCTGTATTGTCAACATCATAACAATTTAACACTTAAGAGTATTTATAAGCAAGCTATAGAGCGCGCGTTGCCCACACTACCTACTATGCCAAGTGTAAACATGTATTTTATACATACTAATACATAGATGAAGCGGTTAAACAGTGATGCGCCGTAATTAATAATGCTTATGTGTTAATTAAATTAAATTTATAAATTTAATTAGTTTAACTAATAGGTAAGTATTTAGTAAAAATTGGATAGGTAAGTAAATATATGGTAGGTTGATAAGAAGTAGAGTTGAAGTTAGTTGATGAGCACATCGAAAGGAAAAGATCACCAAAGTTTAAAAGGTTTATTAAAAAGTAAAGTAGTTACAAGGTTATTGTTTCAAATCTTTATTTGAGTAGTTAGTGATTAGTAGTACGGTTCTTGACGTACTGATTTGAAGTTAAATATAATAAAATTATTACTAATTAAACATGCGTCCCGAAAGTAGGTAGAAACGTGAACGCAAAATAAAGTTGAATGTACGATGGCTTGCCCGTACATCGCTAGTCATTAAAAAAAAAACAGGAATGAATTTGGAAACGATGATTATTAAATAAAAACAAAAATCTAATTAATTACTTTTATCCTAATATCAATATATTTTTGATGATGTGATGGTTTCATGGACGAACCACTGAAATGCAAGGAACATACAAAATGCCTAATGTTGGTCTCCCAGTTGGGCCTATTATCGCTATCACCCATTTATTTGTTAATTCACGCCTTAACCACGGCACTGTTAAATATTTAACTGCATTAAACTTTGTTATGTCCCTATATAACAAAGCTATTAGATGTTTTATTTTATGATCTATATGGGTTAACAATACAAAGGATTCTTACTTCTAATACTATATTATAATTACAATGAAAGAAATCATGTTATTAAAAATATTCGAGTATAACGTGGCACAGCACTAGCTCTAATTCGGGGAAAACCCGAAGCGCGGGGCTCGTGCTGTCACAGATTACTTAATAGTTTACTAAACAGATACATCACTCCTATACAAAAGCGAAAATACCTACGCTATAATAGCCTACAAAATCTTAATAATAATATCTGCTGTTCGCAGCGAGAAGAAAATGTACCATAAGTATGCGCATAAAGAGTCGAGATTGTGTTGACCGCCGTGCGACTCACGTGCAAGCGCGTCATCGCACGAATGCGCTAGGGTTGTACCTATGATGATTATTGTAATAAAACGAATCTTGCGAAATAACCATTTTTTTTATTTGTCAATCGAATATGTTTGAGTTGCATAAAATGATTTATACATTTTTTTCCTTCTCTGATTTCTCGGTTATTAAATCTTATCGTTGAAAATATTCTAAATCGCGTAAATAATTTTAATAAATAATCATGAGGAAAACAGAAGCAAAGAGGAGGAAAATCAATGGTTTGTAAAATTTGTAACACGCTGCTGCCAGGCCGATTCATTATGGCGTTGTCAAAATTATTTAAGACTTATTATCTAATTTATTATATAATTTGGGTGTCCAGGTTGTCACTCAATTTATAAATCACAGCATTGTTGTGCTGTTGCTTCGATGTAATCTTATAGTTAAGAAAAAAGTGACAATTTTTCATTTGTTTTTTGACTCTGACACCCATCCACTGTACAATAATTACGTGGTTTCGGCATTTCGACGAGCAAGCGCGGGAAATATGCGCGGTGCAAGCACTCAGGCGAGCGTGCGGCAGCCCAATGTCGGTTGTATCGTGGGCGATACGCAAAACGGTAGGCATATACCGCAGGGCCTTGAGCGAGTGACGGAGGCCTGGTGCTGTGTCGCCTACGCCGCGCGCCTCCCGCTACACTCTTTGACGCCTAAAGTAGTTTTGTTAAAATTAGTGTTTTCTTATCGAAATGTTACATACCGATAACAAGAAATATCATTGTTCTTCATATTTTGCTTACGTGAATCGTTTTTGTGGCTTGGTACTGCACATTTTACAATAATAACTAAATATTATATTAAATATTGTCGAGAGAAATAATTAACTGTTCTGACTTCTGACTTGTAAATCTGAATTTTCTGACGCGAGTTTACAGTTTTGACTTGCTTACGCGCGCTCTATAGCTTGCTTATAAATACTCAAACACTATACCAATGTAATGTTTAAATTATGATGCAATGCAATTAATATAGTACAGTATATTTTGTAGTTTCTTATTCTATAAAAAAAATTGTAACCAAATTAAATTCATGTACCGTCGCATCTATCTATTACTAACAAGATAAAGATTGAGTAATTACAAAATGAGAACTCGGATGGATAGGCGAGCTCATTCGATCCCGACTTGGTGGTGGCCGGTTTCCCGGACAGTGCGTTCGCACTGGCAGCGCGCCTGCTCGAGCCCAACCCCAGCCTACGTATCACAGCCGACGAAGCATTGAAGCACCCTTTCTTGGCAACTGAAGACTGAACTTTCCATATCATTTTTAAGGAATAAATAAAAATTAAAAACATAAATGCGGGTTACATGCGGTAGACGTGAAACCTTCAGAAAACTAAACTTCGAGAGAATGAGACGAATGCAGTTTATCAGGATTAGGATAATTGTAGGGTTTATTTATTATTATATTGTTACCAAGTTTAAAAAATATTTTACACTTTGCTACACTATCTTACTACATATTATATTACATTGCTTAATATACAGACAAGTTTTTAACTTTATCATCGTAATTACTGACATATTTACTATTCAACAAATTTTGTTCTTAATCCTTCCTGCTCATAGATCACATGCATTATCTTCATATATAATAAGAAACACTGTATACTGTATTCTATCTCATTCTCACGCAGGCTAAATCCTATGGATGTATATGTTTGTCTCCTTTAGTGTCGCTTTTTCGTTTCATCGAGTCTCAAATCACAACGATTCTAAAGAAGTTTTCACTTTCTAAAAGACAATTGACACTAATGAGAGCTAATAATCTAACGCTCACCAGATGGCGCTAGTTGGGACTAAGGTGAATCAATTTGTTACGCGGTTGGTCACATAGTGTCATCATCATTGAAAAGTTAAGATTTAATTATAAGCTTTTCGGTTTCTATTGTATGTATGTATATTCTTTAATTTGTACACATGTTTACCTTTTTTTATTTTAATTCTTCTATTTAGGAAGTCCGTAGTTTGGTTTATACATTTTTTTTTTATTTAAGTAATATAAAATATAACTAATATTTCAAAAGGAAACATTGATCAAGTTGTCATTTTGGTCAAACAATAATCAAATTGTCATTATACTTTTCTAATAAGTTAACTTCTCCCGCTATGAAATTGTCAAATGTTTCACCTTATTCGTAAGTGGCGCCGCTCTGGTGGCAGAAAAGTCGTGGAGCCCTCATTGACACTAGCACTAGCGTTTCCCGCCTTTTAGTTTGACAGTTAACGTTTTGTTAGTTGTGTATGGTATAGTAAACTATCAGATTTAAGGTCATATCTCGTGTTTAAAAAAATTGTGTATATATTCTATATATACAAACTTGTTCTGTGTGTTTTAATTATATCTTTGTTCTATTTTAGAATCATCTGAAAGCACAAGCTCATATTGAGTGTTACTATTAGTTGTAACACTACTATCACTTAATATTAAATTAAAAGTCGGTTATAAAATTCTACTATAAACTAATTAGATAATGAAATTTGTTTTCCAATTGTATATTATGTAAAACAAAAAATAATTCTGAAAAATATTTTTTGCAGTTGTATGTGTATTCAGTGGGGGTATTAGGTATCGGTAAATACCACACTTACCCTATATGTAATCGTATCTAAGTATTGCATTTGAATATGTGATAATGAATCTATATATTTCAATATTTTTGTATGTATCGGTTGATATCTACGTAATTCTGTAAGTCGGTAAGAAAGAACACGGTGATACGCGATTTGTGATGGATTTGCTTTGCTTAGATTTAAAGATGTATTATAATATCTAAGTATGTTAATACGTATTGGTTAATATCTATGATACTCTGAAACAAGAACATCCTACAACGAGGAGTCACTCTAAATATATGTGTTTTACTCAAATATATTAACTTGTATTCTTTCGCGCGCTCATGGATCGCTCGAAATTCGAATCAGTGTATCATATAATTGATATTTTACCTTAATATTATTTCTTCGAGTTCGATGTTAAAGTGACGCTGAAAAGTACCTAATGCCCAAAAATTGTCCTGTCGCTTGGTGCTATTCATGCGGATCGGCCGAGGTCTGGCTGTGACGGTCTCTTTTGAGATGCAAGGTTTACTCGCAACTATTATTACTAAGCTGTTTACTATTTTAGAATGTATTGGGTCACACTTGTTTCCATGGTGTTAGAGTGTCCATACGGGTGTTTGATTTTTAGTAAAGAAGTGATTTCTGTTTGTAGTGATTTTACTTTATGATATTTAATTTATTTTAAAATAATTATTAACGATTGATGACTTCCAATTTGGGCCTGTATACTTTAATGCACAATGATATTTGTGAATTCGTTTAATTTGTCCAAACATCGAATGGGGCAGCATTCTTGTACTTAGATGAAATAGTCGTTACTGTGAACCGTTACGTTGATCCCAACACCAGCCATCACAACTTTTTTTTCGACAAAGATTTCTATGTATACTACTACACGGGTTTCTGCGGCTTTTATACATTGCGCACTAAGTTACGGTTAATTCTCCGCATTTCCTTTAGTCAACTACGACTACTAAAACTAGTTCTTTGTTTTGTAAACCGCGAACGTGGTTTTAGATAATGTAACACTAATTTTGTTTAATGTGACTAAGAAAACGCTGTTATTATTTATGTGCGGACTTTGTCAACGTGATTTTAAGTTTATTTTTAGATAAATATGTAATTTTATTTCGTATTTGTCTAAAAATAGTAACTGTCGTAAGTGAAAATACAACTGTGTGGCATATCTTACGTGCCAGCTAGTTTTTGTTCCGAATTGCTGTAGTATACATAGAAATCTTCGGTTTTCAATGGGGTGGTCTGTGTTTTGAGTAAATGAGCTGTCTGGTCGGCGACGAAAGTGTCATGATAAAACCATTGCAGTAATATATAATACGTACTAGAACGCGATAGTGCGGGCCGCATGGTCAGAGGCTGAGCTCTAATGCGTGTTGCAAATGACTAAGTCTTGGGCAACTCTTCTAGTACCTATATATAGTACAAATTACCACAGTTTAAAGAACTAATAGTTGTGAAACGACTTTAATGTCAGGCGATGCCGCGGTGTTGAGTCGTTATTATGTGTAATCATTTATACCTGTCATACGTAGTTACTGTGGTGAGGGTGTTTTAATTTAATTAATAGAATCAGGTGTTACTTTGTGGAAAACCATTATGTTAAAGATTTTAAAAATCAATTAGCCAAGAAACGCGTACTAAAATAAAATGATGTGTCTTACCTAGTTTGAAGAGCACCTCCCGCCCTCCCTCAATTGTGTGCACTATCCCCAACACCACTACACTAGGAAAGACACACCACCGTCGATAATACGACACGTGTTTCGCCTTTACACGAGATATCAGGCGAAGTAGACTACGGTGGCTGACCATCTGGCTTAGTTAATTTTTAAAATCTTTAGTAAGTATCTTAATTATTTATTGTAACGACCCCCGCCCCGTAGCGTTAAGAACTTAAATTTGTTTATTGTGTCACGTTACTCTGTACGCACAGTTTTGCTTTTACTCATTTGTTTAGTACGCTTACAATATACTGCTCTAGGTTTTCACACTACATTACACGCACAATGTTACTACAGTAAATGTCAAAGTATATATTTTAATTTATAGTACGAATGGTAGATGGTAACGTTGAAATATCTTGTACAAAACTTACAACAAAACCTACAATTTATTATCTGTTGTCAGTCAGTAAGTCGCTATGCATTTCTCCAGTGAATATAGTTTTATTATAATTTTAAATAACATCACATCTAATTGTGTATGTGTTCTATGTTCATTTTAAGACCTAATCGTTAGGAGACACTATCGAGGTCATGTGACATGGACGTTACATATGGTATTTGTTTTGTGCATGTTCATTGAAGACCTATCGAGCGCTTAGGTCCTCCAGCGATTCTGAGGGGACTGTATCGTCGGCAAATCGAAAGTGAGTGATGTACTCGACATTGATGTTAGTACCGTATCCTTTCCAATCCAGTAGCTTGAAAACGTCTTCCAATGCAGCGGTGAAGAGTTTCGGAGATATTACGTGACTGTCTTACACCTCTCTGCTGTTGGATAGGTTTCGTTGTTCGGTTTTGTACACGGAGTCATATCACACCTTTCATATTTTTGTTTATATTTCATATAATTTTTCTCTCAATAATGAAAGGAAGCCTGTGCCCAGCTGAGGGACATCTAAGTGCCGACATTTTAATTTTTTTTTTTTTTTAGATACGTAACTAACACTTTTTTCAAACATTTTTGGTAACTTAGGTTCAAAATATTGTACACTAAGAATAATTGTTTTCTATTGAATATGAAAACGCAGTACATATATAAAATCGGATAGTGGCGGCCTCACTTTACTATTAGATTAATTGTTAATTAGTTGTAATGCGGATCTCAGAGTTAAGTTTTAAGTTATACGCCGAGTACAAAGTAGTCTGCCTGCTGCATACGTGGAAATGGATCGGCGTTTTCCAATAGCCTGCTTACCTGTGTTTTAAACATGATTTCGTCGTGGATTATTTGTATTTACATATTACTAGCAATCTGCCACGGGTTCGCATGGGTGATTTCTGGATCTCGACAACAGCGCCATCTACTGTAACCAATTGTGAACCTAAACCATTCAACCACACAAAAACATCTTTAAAATCGGTCCAGCCGTTTACAAGTTCAGTGACAAACACGCGTACATTAAAATTATATATACTGCCATCTGTTGGAAGCTATAAAAATATCCCATGATCACCTGTCGACAGCCGCGGATCGAAATGAGACCATGAATTCTCTTACGCAATCACACGGTGATATGATGTTTTGATTACATTTAGAGTTAGCGGTAAATCGCCTTTATAATAGGGAATCTCTTCTACTTGCACGTTCCATATAATGTGTGTATCAAATGAGTATCATGTCTGTATCTTTCTTTGTACAAGTCTCCAATACAGCTTAGAAAAGCCCACTGTTAACCGTAGGTTTCCCCTATAGATTCCCTCAGGGGGGATATTTGCCATATTGGCCACGCTTGTCAACGGCAGTTTTTACGTTATTGTTGTTATTGAGAAGACTGCTGCCTATCTTCTGGTTTGAAACAAAACTGTCGCCTTTGTTTCCTGTTAGTCTCGCAAAAACTCTGAAAGTGGTTGGACCGATTTTGATGAAGTTTTGTGTGTGTTTGAGAGTGCGTCCCATGATGGTTTATATTCACAATTGGACCCGGTAGGTGGCGCTGCTGTCGAGATAGAGAAATCACCCGTGTGAAGCCGGGTTGGATCGCTAGTTTCATTATAATATTAGCCAGATTAGAAGTGCTACTATTCAGTACATTTTATGAAATCATTTTAAAAATGTACTTTTACAAAACTAAATTATTAACGTCGATCTGTTTCCAGTGTGCTAGTATTTGAATTAAGTGCCTTTGAAAACTGTGTTCAATAGGGTGTTGTTTTGTTACCTCATTGTTGATGTTCTTTTTGATGGAATAAACTTAGATTATTATACAGACGACTTTTTTATTTTCACTTCCCTTGTTTATTAGTCATATGCTCATATGTGTTAAGCTGACCTCTTCCAAATAGGTAGCTGTATTGAATTGGAATTTAACCAAAACAGAGATGTCGTTTGGACAACTCAATATTGGTTACCGTAATATATTATGGAGCGACGCTGTGTCCTACGGTTGCAGTATGAGTAGATCAACTCGACAGGGCAACTCCCACGCTCGCACATTATACCAGCTCAACAGCAGAACGATGCTCTTTCGTCGAATAAGGTGGTGCTTCTCAATGAATTGATCGGAGCATAATGAGCCTAATATGTGTAACTTCATTATATACCTACTAATAAGGAATGTGAAACGGAAGGATATTTAATACTACTTAAGGTTAAGGAGAGCTTTCAGCTAGCCGCCCTCTAAGTTTTTTTAGTAATTTTATTTCAATATTTTTGTATCGTAAAGTGGGTGTACAACAAATTGTATATGTATGTGACTGACATATCATTCATTGCCTTCTAGGGATGGGCAAGTGAAAATAATAATATAAAAATCGATATATTGTCATGTTTTGCATGATGTAGTAGTATGAGGTAAAACAATTTTATTAGTAGCCGTTATGACGACGAAAAAAAACAACAGCACATGAATGTTTTGTAGTTTGAATTATATTGTCTATTAAATTAAAAAAATAATATAATATTTATATCGAAATTGATACATATTCGATACTCTAAAATAAATATCGATAGTTTTGTGAGAAAATTTCGATATAAGTATCGATATTTTTTACACAAGCCTATTGTCTTCCTTATCTTGACAAGGTGGACTACATTTTAATTTCTTACTGCCGATTCCACTACCGATTGTTAGGGGTTGGAGGCAACGACGGCTCGCAAAACTTTCTGTCTCACATCATTGAATTATTTGTATATTGTTTATCAATCTTCTAAAAGGCAGCGCCCTCACTACAAGTTGGTTGCCGTTTACCGTTATCGTTACAGCCTATTAAAAGATCACTGCTGAGCAAAGGTCTCCCCCATAGGATGCGTCATAGGGAGGATATGTACCTAGTTGCAGTGGCGCAGCTACCGGAACTTCAGCCTCCATGAACGACGTTCGTAAAAGTTATTAAATTACCTCCAGAACATAAACATGACATTGTTAAAAGTAAAATTGTCAAATTCGGTTTTTGTCTACCTATACGATTTCGTTTGTCTGGTATGGACCAACATAAAAGCCATCCCACTGGATCCTTTTACGGGATGAAAGTATGCTATGTTCTACCCAGTTGAGCTCTATCCGTTTGCACATCCAAATCTATCCTGTAGTTTTTAAGTGAAAGTCAATGATATTATTATATAGGTATATACAAAAAGAAAGAAAGCGTAACAAACTAACAAACTTTTACATTGTAATATTATTAGGAAGTACTATTAAATATTACTCGTATCTTCTGCGTTAAACATAATACTAAGCAATAAGCAGCTTTGCTTTATTATGCCTTGCAGTGGGCAAAAACGAGCTGATAATGAAGTAGTTTTGCACCTTTAAAGCATTTAATGTAAATAGGGCCCCAATTTACGTATTGTCCCGGGGCCCTTGGTTACATAGCTAAGCCACTGCCTAGTTGCCGCGTTTGGTGGATTTGTTGGCAACCGCAGTTTCTTTTTCTTTTTAGTTATTATTAGGAAGACGCTGCTGTTCATCTCCTGGTTTGTTTCCTTCTGTCGCTTCTTACTACACCCCGGGACGATATGGGGGAGTGGAAATTCTTACACCGCCACTAAACGGTTGTTGTAACAACCATTAATACTACGTATAAACAATAACAGTTTACTGGAGAAAAAGATGGCCGTTACGGGACGGTCGGGCAGATGTGAAACATCAAATTTGATGGTAGAATTTATAATTAATGAAAAGTAAAATAAATATTGTTACGAGCTTGAGGTTCGAGATGATTAAAAACTGCCGAGTGAATTGCCAAAATTGACTATTTAATTACACAACACTAATTACAACTTAAAATCACACTAATAAAATACTGCCTTCGTCTTGGTCTATACCGGTCTTATATAGGGCCTCACCTAGTTTCCAGAACCTTCTACTGTAGCGACATCTAGAATGTTCGAGTACATATCGGTCCCGAAATTTCTGGAAGGATCTTGACTCTCCCAGTTCTGCTACTCGACACTAGAGGGCGCTGTGTAACTAGTGTTGCCATGTACAAGACATTAATAGTGGCGCGCAACACTGCCCCCTCCTAAGACATGCTCGTCCCGAGCATTATTGGCCCCATAATAACGCGCCAGTCGATCCACATGGACAATCTTAGGAGTACCTCTGGCACCTTTCTGTATCCGGTACGTTACATCATTGATCCTTGTCACAATCCGGTACGGTCCGTCCCATTTAGCTTGAAGCTTAGGAGATTTCCCTTTGCTGCGAACTGGATTGTGTAACCACACTAGTGAACCTTCATCAAAGCCCTTGTTGTTCATTTTGCGGTCATACCGTGTTTTCATCTTCTCAGACGTTTGCTGTCCGTCTGTCTGACGTGCTCATAAATGTCATTCATTTTGTTCCGCAAGTCATTTGCATGATCGGTTATACTGCGTGGGGCATCAGGTGGTATTCCGGTGATCAGGTCTGCAGGCAGCCGTAATTCTCTCCCAAAGTTTGCGAAAGCTGGTGTCACTGATGTACTTTCGTGAACAGCGCTTCGATATGACAACAAAAACGGTTGTATGTGCCTGTCCCCGTCTCGTTGCCGTTTTTCCACAACTTTTGCTAGGTACCCCTCCATTGTCTGATTAAATCTTTCTACCATTCCATCAGATTGTGGGTGGTAAGAAGTTGTTCGTGTTTTATGAGTACCCATAACTCGGCAAGTTTCTTGGAATATTTGAGACTAAAAATTCCTTCCTTGATCGCTGTGAATCTCTAAAGGTACTCCAAAAGGACAGAAGACTTCATGAACTAGTTTATCTGCAACTGTTGAAGCTTCTTGATTTGGAATGGCGAAGACTTCTGGCCACTTAGTGAAGTAATCCATCGCAACCATGAAATACTTGTTACCACTTTCACTTTCCGGAAACGGTCCTGCAACGTCAATGGCTATCCTCTCCCATGGTGCACCAACATTGTACAATTTCAATTCACCTCTATTACGAATTTGAGGTCCCTTTACAGTCGCACAACTTGTACATTTGCGGCACCAGTCCTCGACATCGTCACGACAGTGGACCCAGTAAAACCGTTCTCGGATCTTCAGTAGAGTTCGTTTAACTTCCAGGTGGCCTCCTGAACAATCACTATGGTACAGCTGTAGAACATCCGGAACTTTAGCCTTAGGGACAACCATTTGCAAATGACATCTGTCTCCCCGACCATTTTCCCATTTGCGGCACAGGACTCCATCCTGAATCAGCAAGCTGTCCCATTGGGCCCAATAGCTTTTCGTGGTCGAACTCATTGCTGAGACGTCGCTCCACTTGGGCTTAGGAGCACTGGCCTTCATCCACTCCAGAATCGGCTTAATGTCCGAATCTTCCTACTGTGCATGTTGTAGGCTGTCCTTCCACTCATTGCTGAGCTGGTCTGTCTTGAGCATCCTCACAGATACCACTTCCTTACCTTCTTGCTTAGTACAATGCTTGCAATCTTCAGGGCAAGGTCTTCTTGACAATGCATCTGCATTGCCATGAGATTTCCCGCTGCGATATTCGATCACAAAGTCGTATTCCTGCAGTAGTTCAATCCATCTCGCAACTTGTCCTTCCGGATTTTTGAACTGCAATAGCCATTTCAGTGCAGCATGGTCGGTTCGTAAGTGGAATTTCCGCCCCAGAAGATATTTGCTAAAGTGCTGCAAGGACTTTACAACACCAAGCAATTCCCGTCTTGTGACACAATAGTTCCTTTCCGGCTTTGACAGCGACTTGCTGCAGTACGCTATCACAATCTCTTGATCACCATCCCGTTGAGACAACACACCGCCAAGTCCTATATCACTTGCGTCTGTGTCAACTATGAATTCCTTGCCCGCATCAGGGTACCCTAAAATAGGTGTTTTGCACAGACGGTTCTTGAGCTCCTGGAATGCGATATTGCAACTTTCATCCCAGCAGAAATGTCACTTCTCCTCGGTTAGCTTGTGCAGAGGTTTGGCTATATCTGCAAAGTTCTTCACAAATCGCCGATAATAAGAGCACAAACCCAAAAATGCTCTAACCTGTGTCTTATCTTTTGGAACCGGCCAATCTTTGACAGCGGCAATTTTCTCTGGATCCGTGCGGATACCTTCTTCCGACACTACATACCCCAAAAAGCTAACTTGCCGTTTGAATAGTGAGCACTTCTTCGGACTCAACTCGAGGTTGGCACTCTGGATCTTCATGAGCACGCGTTCCAGGTTTTGAAGGTGTTCCTCAAACGTACGGCCTACGATGATGATGTCATCCAAATAGACCAGACAGGCATCTCCAATTAGCCCGGTAGGTATAAGCTCCATCAACCTTTCAAACATTGCTGGAGCATTGCACAATCCAAACGGCATGACTTTAAATTGCCACAGACCCTTTCCTGTGGAGAATACTCCCAGTTTTCTCCTTGTCCTTAGGGTCAATTTCAACCTGCCAGTAGCCACTTTTCAGGTCCAGCGTACTAAACCACTTTACGCCTGTAAGCATATCCAGCGTGTCATCAATTCTTGGCAAAGGATAGCTGTCCTTCTTCGTAACGTCGTTCAGACGGCGGTAGTCAACACAAAACCGCATGCTGCCGTCCTTCTTTCTTACCAGCACCACAGGTGAACACCATGGACTAGATGAAGGTTCAATAACACCATCCTTTACCATTCCCTCAATCATGGTTTCCACTTCCTTTTCACGTGCTAGAGGCAATCTTCTTGGCCGCTGACGAATAGGCAATTCTTGTCCTGTGTTTATTTTGTGTTGAACTAAGCCAGTCTTTCCTATGTCAGCTTCGTTTGACGAGAAAACATTGGCGTACTGGAGTAACAACTTCTTCGCCTTGACCATTTCATTCGGGGAGAGAACGCTGCGACAGTCTTCTAAAAGTGTGGTCACTCTCGTTTGTCCATCCTTGCTGGGGGTCCCAGTTGATAGATATTGGCACCGCCGCAACCAATCCACTTCCTCACTAGTACCAACCAATGTGCCTTTTTCTATAATCTGTTCCTGATCACAAGGGTTGAACACACGTACTCCTGAGATGTCGGTGGTTCTGACCAAGTTTCGAGCCACTCTCCATGGAAGGTCATTGTCTACCCTTTCCACGAGTACACAACGATGAGCTTGTCCAGGATTCCGAGGAAGACTAACCGGCACAATCGTTTCCGATCTCGGCGAAAGAACAATCTTCTTAAGGCTGTACACATTCCCTGGTAACGCCCCTTTCACAAAAAGTTCCTCTTGTCCACATTTCAAAACACCTTGCTTTACGTCGATCTCACAACAATTCTTCCTCATAAAGTCTAGGCCCAGGATGCAGTCGTCCATTATATCAGCCACGATGACATTATGCAGGTAGATCATGTTGCCTAGCTTCAACTCCATCTCCTTCTCTCCACGGACGGGTATGCGCTGACTAGTGGCTGTCACCAAATTAATGCGTTCGCGGTTGTATGCGGAGTCCCCAAGAAACCGACTTATAAGTTGGGAACTGACAACCGTGCGAGAGGCTCCAGTGTCTATGGTCAGTTTACACGGCGTTCCGTTGACCTCGCCCTTGATGATTAGGCTGTTCCCATCATGGGTTTGTGAGATCAAAATCCTTGAGGCTCTTTTAACATCAGCCAGCACCCGCCCCGTAGTCCTGGCTTTTACTCGTTTCCCTGCTGCTGCTGGGCGGTGCTATTAGCTGCACTACCCTCTCGAGATCGATCACCTTCCCTTTCTACAGTTCGCTTAGGGCAGCTGGATCGAAGATGGCCCCTTTCCCCACAGCCGTAGCACCTAGGGCTGTAGCCGTTATTGCGGTCCCGAACTGTAGCTGCTGCAACCTCCCTGACGCGATGGGAACGATGATCCTGCCGCACGGCTTCCACCTCCAGTGCATGGGTCAAGGCGTCCTTAAGCGTCTGGTGGTACCCGAGCCTCACAGCAGCTCTGACTTCAAGGTCGCGGATGCCGTCGATGAATGTCTGCACCAGGTTCCCTACAATGAGCGCAGGTACAGACTGGTATGCTTTTCGAACCAGCTTCTCTACCTCAATGGCCCATTGCTGCAGGTTTTTGTTAGTGCGTTGCACGCGATCTCTGAGCTGCGCACGAAAGACGTGTTCCAGGTGAGCATCGCCGTATCTCGCCTCCAATGCCTCAAGGAGTTGCTCGTAAGTCACTTCCTTACCGAGAGCTTCCAGAACAGTTAAGGCCTGGTCGCGCAGGCCTAGGGTGAGAGCAGTCATGGCCTGACTTTTATTCCAGCCGTTCGCCTTCATGACAGCCTCGAATTGGATTTTGTAGGCTGACCAGGAAGAACTCCCGTCGAACGGTGGTACTTTGAATCCACGTAGCGAAGGTGTTGTAGCTACCACGGGAGCTGTAACTCCATCCCCGAGTTTGAGGTCGTCCAGCGTTTTCTTCACGTCAGCCATCACGTTGTCAACCCGATTGTACACTTGGTCGATTCGGGTTTCAGCTTCCGACAGGCGGTTGTCATATTGAGCAACCTTATCCTTCACCTCCCTTATCTCTTTCCCGAAGGTAGTGTGAAGGTCCTTCATGAGAAGTATCTGCTCTTTCTTATTGCGTTTGAGTTGCTCTTCCAACGACGACCGCCCTGTTCCTCCTGTTGGCGGGCCTGTTCCTCCTGTCCGCGCTGCAGCTGTTCTTCCAACCGACGGGCCTGTTCCTCCTGTCTGCGCTGCAGCTGCTCTTCCAACCGACGGGCCTGTTCCTCCTGTCGGCGAGCCTGTTCCTGCAGCATCATCATCAGAGCACCTAAGTCAGGTGCTGTAGATGCAGGAGCTGATGACGGACCGGACTCCGTGGTCAGCAGCTGGCCCTTCGATGTTTGCGGCGTTGTATTACCAAATCGTATCTGGTCCGTCTCCAGCTGGCGTTGACTTCGGGTACGGATACCCTCCATGTCGTATCGGCATGATTTGATCTCACTTCTGACACCAATTGTTACGAGCTTGAGGTTCGAGATAATTAAAAACTGCCGAGTGAATTACCAAAATTGACTAATTAATTATACAACACTAATTACAACTTAAAATCACACTAATAATAAAACACAATCACTTTAGTTCGCAGTTATTTCGCTTCGAAGTATTCTCTTGTATCGCCAATTCAATACTGCCTTCGTCGTGGTCTATACCGGCCTTATATAGGGCCTCAGCTAGTTTCCAGAACCTTCTACTGTAGCGACATCTAGAATGTTCGAGTACATATCGGTCCCGAAATTTCTGGAAAGATCTTGACTCTCCTAGTTCTGCTACTCGACACTAGAGGGCGCTAGTGTAACTAGTGTTGCCATGTTCAAGACATTAATAGTGGCGCGCAACAATATAATATAGTATACGCGCACGCACACAAGGAAGTCGGGAGCGGTAGTTATATAGCAACATTATTTACTCGTCGTACTCGAAAACGTTTTACCGTCCAAAATTTACCAAAAAGAAAGAAAAACGTCACAAAGGTAAGTTCTATAATTATAACAAAATGTAATTACTTGAAACTTCAGACATTTTGAATCACAGACACTTGGTTATTTACGCAGTAAAAACCCTCGAATTGCTGTCTCCACCTACAGCGCCATCTAGTGCGTAATTTGAATGACGATTTTAAACGATATCAATGTATCGGCTCGGCACACGAGTGACTTACTTCCAAGTGCAGAGTGTTATTTCCATACCATGTCCCCAATATATTGATCTATTTCGAATACTCACAGACTTTTAACAAAATTAGCCTAGATTTTTTTTTCTAACTTTATAAATGATTATTGCAATATATTCTCTCAGAATATCAGCGTAAAATACTCAATGCTGCTATTTTTCGCATAGTGAGTGCAGAGAACCACAGACCCTTTTTATTGGAAACGAGTCGTTCCATCTTAGTCCGTAGGGCTGACAACGCATCTGCATTTTGATTTTTAATCGGGGGTAGATGTATATGTTTGTGCCACACCATCCATTTGTCATTAGGTGGACTGTGTGCTTGTTTATCATCATTATTATGTAATAGACTTTATGGATTGTATTATTATATAATAGATTTTTCGAAAATTTTATGCAATTACTGGACAAATCTTTTTAGTTTTGGCCAGTCTTCGCTTTGACTTGTTCACTGCTTATCGCAGCGTAATCTTTTTTTTTCTATAGGATAGGGTGATAAACGAGCACACAGTCCACCTGATGGTAACTCGTTGCTGTGACCCATAGACATCTACATTTATCCTCAATAAAGAATCAAAATGCAGATGCGTCGTCACCCGTGAGGACTAAGATGGAATGCCTCTTTTCCAGTAAAATGGGTCTCCGATTCTCTACACTCACCATACGAAACACAGCAGTGTCAAGCTGCCATTTTACGCTGGTATTCTGTGACAGTGTGGTCCTTCCCCGGTCGAGCCGACCCATTCGCTACAACTATACTACTATATAGCTGCAGCATGGCTCTACCACGTATAAATCTAGTGCTTATTGCGATGTAACACAGGTTAGCTTCACCGCAGATTACTCTTTGCTTGCTCTAGGTCTTATTACAAAGAACAGAATTACGACAAATAAGATCTTTCCCTACACGTCATCGCCTGTGTCGACGACGGCCTGTCGCCATTTATAAAAAGATACCTATGGTCGCCATCGCACTGTATCCTGCTAAAACGAGTGGGGGTAACAAGTTCTGCTCTCCAATATTTATGGTTTATATATTTTTTTTATAAATAAATACTAGCAATGCTATTTACATTATTCGTATTCTTCATATTGATTCCACACCTGTGAAGCTTAAAATGCTTGTGTTAAAAGGAGTTTACGACAGTAGTCGAATGGCGTATTCGAACCCACAACCTTTTGAGTTCGCGCTCCGCACCCTGCCATTAGGCATCTGTATCTCTATTAAAATTCCCCTTACTACTTTTTATCTCTCTTTTATTTTCTACCCTCGACAGGTTTATTCTTCTTTCATTCTTGTTCTTGGAACTTGAAAAAGACATACAGCTATGGATTACTCTGCAATGTAAGGCATGTTTTCAAACAAATTAATGTTTAATTACGCCTTACTACAGAATGAGATAAATAATAAAAAACTTTAAATAAAGAATTAAAATTATTTTATTGTAAAAATATAATTTTATAAGCAGTCTTTATGGGATAAAATTTCTACAAAGGTATTGCATTACAATGTTGTTCGTGATCAGAATGCTGGCAGACACAGTTTAGATCAGTACATATCAATTTTAAAAAGCAAGCAATTGCTATAAACTTAAAAAAAAAACTTTATGATTTAATATTTACGAGTACTATACACATTGAATTGAATTAATTTCACAAATTTTATCTAACGCGTTTAATTTTTACTTATTCAATTCCCGACATTCCGGATGCTCCACAGATTTATGAGATTAAATTTAAATAACAAACATACCACTTCACTATAAGCTGATTCTATGTAAATGGGAAAATTATTTAATTAAGGAATTAATAAAAGAAAGTTGAAGGTAGCCTCTGATAACTATGACATCAGAATGTCAAACACCTCAATCTCTGTGACCATGTAAAACACCTCAAATGACGGGAATAAATGAAAATTACAATAGTGTAATTGCGATAAAAGCATAGTATTACTCAAAATTCATGACAATATTTTCTATAAAGCTCTTTAATTAAAAAAAAAATCCTAATTGTGTCTCAAGCCTCTTAAGTATTCAATAAATTTAAAGAAATAATTGCACAATGAATATTTCACAACAGCCTAAAAAAGATTGAAAATATATAACATATTCTTCACTAGAGATAGTACATCTCTAGTGAAGAATATGTTTAATTTGACATTTATTTATCATGCATTTCATAAGTTCAGATTACATGGCATAGATTTTTCACCAACAGCTAGAGATATTAAAAGATAAACTATAAAAATCATTCCTGGGGAAGTCCCGAAGATTAAAGGTCTTTTTACCAATAATTTGACCTATAGGTCTTATTACTAAACATGGAGTCGTCAAAGGGTTTCAAATAACTGACTTTTACATGGTAGAGCCACAGCCTAAGAAAAACATACAGTCAGTCATCGCGTATTTTTTTTTTATAGAATAAGAGTGACAAACGAGCACACATTCCACCTGATGGTAAGTGGTTGCTGTGGCCAATAGACATCTACATCTATCCTGAATAAAGAATCAAAATTCAGATGCGTTGTCACCCGTGATGACTAAGACGGAATGTCTCTTTCCCAGTAAAATGGGTCTCCGGTTCTCTACACTCACTACACGAAACCCAGCAGCGTTAAGCTTCTGTTTTACGCTGGTATTCTGTGAGAGCGTGGTCCTTCCCCGGTCGAGCCGACGCACTCGTGCTACAGCTGTACTAATAATATAGCTGCAGCATGGCTGTTGGTGTGGTGTTTATTAAAACGTGACCCCACTACATGTAGCAAATTCAAACTTTATTCTGTAGTAATTTATAATTTATTAATGATTGCGTCAAGTACCCAATTATAGACGATACAACAGTTTACACAAATCTAGTATTTAATAATTTTCACATCTTATTTATACATCTTTACATATAAACAAAATTGAAGTGTCTGTCTGTAATGTTAAAATAACTGACTTTATTAAGATCAAGAGGGTTATTTGCATGCTAATAAGACACCATATTAAAATATTTGGTCTGTCTGTATGTCCGGACTAATCATCGGAATGACTGAACTGATAGTGATGAAAATTTACGAACTGATAGAAAGCAACGCCAGTAGGGATCTAGATTATATTTTACCTAAGAGTCGCTAGGCAGAAAATAATTAAGCTGATGAGTTATCTTAACACTTTCACTGTCCGGTTTCCAGACACAATAGTAAGACAATAGCAATGACCTATATGTAGTGCACAGGACAGTGAAAGGGTTAAACATATACAGGCTTTATCTATGCGGATCACAATATTGTAACTATAAGTTAAAATAAAAAAAATTGTTACAAAGTAGAAACAGTTAACACTTGGTTATCACATTTGTACCAGTACGGGCGGATTCACCACTTTTTGCGTGTTGAGTTTTCGCTATGTCCCATAACTAAAGATACTCGTAGTTGGTACCTGCCCAGGATAACTTTTACACAATGTATAGCTCGAACCACTTTCAATAATTACATATTTAATTGTTCACTTTTTAAGCGAGGTTTATATTTATGTCGAATCCAACTTTTGGAATGGACTTTTGTGCCATTGAAGTATATGGTTGACAAATAAAAATAATAAGCGGCCAAGTGCGAGTCGGACTCGCGCATGAAGGGTTCCGTACCATCGTAGAACAGGTTTCTAGTAGGGGAGCCCCCTTTCATTTTAATTTATTTTTATTATATTTTGTTATAGCGGCAACAGAAATAAACACTGAAAATTTCAACTGTCTACCTTTTACGGATCATGAGATACAGCCCGCTGACAGACAGCGGAGGCTTGGTAATAGGGCTCCGTTGGTTACCCTCTGGGTACGGAACCCCAAAAACTATGTTTATACATTGTCAGATTTTAATTTTATGGTCTTGAACACTTTGAGCGTACACACAACTTCATTTATAAATTCAATTTCGAAACATTTAAAAATAATCACGCAAATAAAGATCATTATCATGTGTAAATTAAATATTTAAATTACAACAAAGCACTGACGCCCATATATTATTTCTAACATTTATTAGTAACACGTGTTTCTTTTATAGATGGCTCTGACCCCGGCGGAAGATACAGGGAGAAGTTGAAAAAAAAATCCAGAGTAATATGAAGAGTATAAAAATAAAGGTTTACAAAGAATTAAGATAAAGACAAAGACAATTTTGGAGTTAACCGAACGGTAATAGTTCGTAAATACAATGCACCTATAAAATGTATTCAAACATCGCAAATGATATTAGAAACCTCTAGAAAGCGATACTACCATTTGAAAAAGCAAAAAAATAGAAGAGTTAGAGAGCACTGTTATAAAAATGAAAGCGCGAGATGACATTTTGCAGAGTTCTTTGCGTAAGACGTATAACAACTGAAGACAAAAACGTATTTTGTAATAATAATAATAAGTCAGTAAGTAACCTACGTGTCAAAGTTATTGGGACTTCACGGTCCAGTGATGAATGTAAGTCCTGTAAGGTTTATTACAAAATAGATTATGAACCTGCTTTCGGAGATCATTGTGGTAAGATTGAAAAAGGTGAAGTAAAAGAGATGATTACAAAAAAACCAGTCAAACAAAAGAAAGAAGGTTATGTTAGTCTGTTACTACAGAAACTTGAGAGCAATTTATTCTCATATAAAATTAATTATTTCAATTGCAAACAGCAACAGAGAAAATATCAAGAGTGTGTACGTAACTTGAAAGGCAATGAAGTACTGATACTCGTTGATTTTTCCGAGAACTGCTTGCAAAATGAGGGAGGAGGTTCAATCCATGCATTTTGGTGCTTCAAAGGATCAGATAACTCTGCATTGCGGTATGATATATTGGACAAATAAGTCCAAATTTACTATTTCAGACAGCAAATGCCATGAACCTACGGGGATTTGGGCAAACCTTATGCCAATATTAGAGGTGATAAAAGAAACGTCTCCAGAAATGGACACATTACATTTCTTCTCCGATGGTCCAACCTCTCATTGCCGCCCTGGACGATGGGACGATATAAGATGGCACACCCGCAACCGCCAAACCCGTTTATTGAGCTAGTAGAAGATCTAGCGGGAGTAGCACACAGGATACTGAACGCCGTGGGCTTTGGCCGACAAGCAGAAAACATGGAGAGGCAGCCGCCAGCGCCAGTAGCACCAGCCCCATTTGTGCCAGACCAACCTCATGCCTTCTTCCAGAATGGAGTCGAAACAGTGCGCGACATGCGTGAGTTTGTGACTGAGGTGCAGCAGTTCGATGCCCAAGCAGCTGTCATGTTTCTGTCCACGAAGTTCCACGGCCAGCCAATGACAGCCAGGTACAGGGTACAGTGCGCCACGGTCTTGCTACAGGAACTAGACAGGCAAGGCATAGGAAACGTGTACAGGCGGCACGAGATCGTTACACACGCCGTACATGAACACATCCAGATGAGACTCGAAGATTAGCCCAGGTGGACGTACGATATGGTTGAGAAGGCCAACAGACTCAACAAGGCAGTAGAGGGCGTAGTGGAGAGAACACACTAATGGTGATACTGGGTAACTGAGCGGGTACAGTTGAATCCAGGCTGCTCTTTAAACGCTACAAGCCCCTGGGAAGAAGAATCGTCATTCAAAATATTACACGTTGTGCACGGCTCCAGTATTAGTGGTGACAGCGGGCGCTATAGCAGTGGCAGCGGCTGGTTACTTAATGTACCGACAGGCGAGGTGGTTCACTTCTCCGGCCAGAGTAGCTGTTTTACCACCCCAAGCATCCCGCTACCACAGCTGCCGCATTCTTCAAGCGACACATTGAGCAGCGCACTAGCAGCTAAGAACCCATATACATCCCAGATCTCTATCGCCACATTAAGGAAGTTTATGGTTAATCCACAAAAACTTACGAGATGTGAGTATCGCGACTCCCTCCATGGCTGAGGCCATCGAAAGGCTTACAACTGAACAACAAAAGAAATTGAGCTCGGTGTTGCGGTCGGCGCTGGGGTCACTCCTTTCACGAATATAAAGAAGTGCAAGGGCACAAAGCATCAGGCTCCTAGAATGATACAAGCTAGAGATATTAAGTTTAACATAGAGTAAGCATGATATATTAAGCCATTAGAAGATAAGTTAACTAAGTGTTCAAACCACGGCAAAGGCAACTATGATGAGATATCCAAGCGCATAGTCAAGATCCAGCGTAGGTTTCCCTACATGCATGAAGCCGACCGCAAAAGTTTTCATGCGTATGTCACCCCTGAGCATCTTAAGCTCACTCACACGTTCTACCAATCATGCTACAGGCATGACAAAAAGTTGAGAAGTCTATCTAAACGCACCATCAAGAGCACGTGTAAAACTAGAGAAGGTGATTGGTATACAGTCAAAGAAATCAGAATGTATGAGAATGTTGATACCAGCTTCGGGAATAGCATCATCAATTATGCGGTCATCATTGAAATCATACATCGGCAGGGCCGGAAGGGGGATGCCATCGTCAATGGTGACGACTCGATCATTTTCACCGACAAATCACTTGATGTCGAGCAGGCCATCAGATTTCGCCACGTTGAACTTGATCACCGATATGAAGCAGCGGATGTCCAAGATGTCGAGTTTTGCAGGACCAAATGTGTCATAAACAATAATGGAAAACCCACGATGATGATGAACCCCTCACGAATATCACAGATATTTGGGATGACCTATAATAGATACGTCTCCAATTACCAACAGTATCTTGTCAAAGTGTTGGCAGCCAACGCCCTCATCAACAAGAACACTCCCTGCAATAATGACTGGAGGGATTTGCACAAGTCGATTACATTTGGAAAATATTTCAATCCCAACACACAGTTCAGGCATCTCAACCGTGCCTTGACCAGAGTTGTATTTACCATCTTGTTTACTACCATGTCAAAATGAAAATGTACCGGAATCGAAAAAGGACTCTGAGAGTTCAAAAGAACACAAAAATAAAACCACAGTATTCGCTAATACAGAAATTGGCAATAAACTGGTAACTTTAACTAAAGGTGACCTTTTAACGGGTTTAAATGTCAACTCAAACAAATGAAGATATTTAGTTAATCAAAATGATTGTCAAAATACACTAAATAGGTGTTGTATTACTTCTAAAAGTGATTAGGAAAATCTTTCCGATACAAAAACCGTAAAGCAATCAATAAGAACAGCAATATCGCGAACATAACAATGTTTTTTGTGTAAGAAAAAAACTTTCCATTTGCTTCAAATTGCATAGTACAATGCATGGTTTGTAAAAATAGATACTGCACTACTTGCATTGAAGGGCAAAATCGTTTTGGTTACATTTGCAATAAATGCCTTTGGTGATTAAGACCTCGTATTACTTAACAAGTCAGTCTACCTCCATAATTTCAGTGAAATAATTTTAAGACATGATTATATAAAACTAAAACTTTATATTGCTGTTTTTTTTTATATATAAAACTAAAGCTTTTCATTAATAACTTGGACACGATAACAATCTCAGTGCATATGAACAGACTACAATGGCATATAGGAATAGTTCTTTTTTTCTTTCCTTTATTTTTATCCTACAAACTACTTCGTCGTATTATTGATACAAAAAATCGATATTTGAGGTGGCCATAACTTTTGCAATATTACGATTTTAGAAAAAAAAACTAAAAACAGAAGCATAGTTTCTTATTATTTCAATAACGTACTATAAAATCATCTAAATTGGATAACTTTTCTTTATTTTAAAGTAATAATAATTGTATTTTTTCGAAAAGCTTCGTTATTTGGTCGATAAAAATAGTGTGACAGCTGGTCAAATAGTTAACGTAATGGAAATAAAGACTGAATTAATTAAACTCTGTTATTTTTGTTTATTAGAATTTTGTACAACCTATTTTACACAAATACGGTTCTTAAGACATATTAAAAACTGCTAACAAGTTCAGTGTGTTTGATTTGGTAAAACCACCATGCTTTCTTGGTGACGGAAGAGAGCATTATTCATTGTCTGGCCAGATAAATACTAAAAAAATTATTACTAAAAAGCTAATTATGAACCCAAAAATCTTCATATCCTTTAGTAAAACATATAATGGAATCCTTTGCAAAAATTATCCTGGATTTCAATAAAAATAAAATAGTGTTATTTGTCATCACTGTCACATTTTTGTCAAACTGCCCATACACATATCTAAATTACAACTGTAAATTTCTGTAGACAGCTGGTGCATTTCTGTGTATTGAAGCATTTAACAAATGTTATTTTCACTGCCATATTAAAATTAATGTACAAAACCTGAATGTGAATGTACACAATATTCTTGGGTGTTTTACAAATTTTACAATTATACATAATATAAATTTAATAAAAAAATTTCTTGCTAATTAAATAAAAGCATTGTACCTACTTTATTAAAAAAGTCTTCTGGTATTATGGACAGCACTGATCTGCCGTCACAGAGGTAACTGCCTATGGTGAACCTCACAATTAATGCATTATTCTACATAACATCTGTGTCTATTAGTTATAGAAAAAATATTTCCATACTGGCTGTTCTCCACGACTTCTCCCGCGTGTTATTTGGGTTTTATTTTTTTTACGCGGAACCCTAATTCTTTTTCTAAAATAAAAGTAGCCTAAGTTACTCCTTGTGACATCAGCTATCTGCCAGTGAAAATCCAGTCAAAATATAGCCGTTTCGAAGATTAGTTGGAACAAACAGACAGACAGACGGACAGACGGACAGACGGACAGACACTTTAAAAATTGTATTTTTGGTATTAGTATCGTATATACTTTCACATGCATTTAGTAAAAAGCTGTAATTTTGTCATAACAGACACATAAATTTTATTTATTTGTATAGATGTATAGATGGGGACCTGGTGATAATTAATATAAGAAGGATTGTGGTTATCCATCTTCATTTAATTTTTATGTTTATTAAATTTGTTTGCTAGATATTTTTATTGGTATGTATTTTAGGTAGTCTTAGTAATTTTAGGTTTGTAGTTTTTAATGTAATAAATACATGTGTAAAATGTAGTAGTACAATGATAGGGACATAGCAGTGCTCTATATAGATTGTGTGTAAACAAATATTAGCTCTGTTGTCATTATTCAGGGAAAAACAAAGGAATATGTTTGTACAATCACACTCTCACAGAATAGCAGCTTAATGCTGCTGCATTTCATATGGTGGATGTAGAGAACTGAAGACACTTTTTACTGGATACAAGGCATTTTATCATAGTTTTTAGGTGTGACAACACATCTGCATTTTGATTTTTAATCAAGGATAAAATGTAGATGTCAATGGGTTATAATATCCACTTACCATCAGGTGAACTGTGTGCTTGTTTGTCACCCTTATTTTATAAAAAATGGTATGAACTAAACGAGGCTTGGACATCATCTTGAATTTTACATTGTATCTACTCTATTTTTGTTCGGAAATGTGCTGTCCTGTGAAAATGTTACTGATTTATTATTAGTAACAACCTATTATTTGGCTTCTTGTAATTAGTATGTTATTTATTACACTCTTAACCTGTTGGTTTTCCATTACATAAAAACAAAATAATATAGAACCACCAATTTTGATATTATTTTAAGGAATTTTGCATTATTAAGAAAATCACAAATTTCATACCATCGCAATAGACTACAAACCTTTGTTTCATAAAACTAAACATAATGCACAAAACTGTTTTCATCAACACATTTTCACTTACACTATGTATAACATTAGTTCTTCCAGAAATTAGGGTTTTGTTGTAACCTCCGCTCAAAGTTCTGGTACCATGTGTGTAGAGTGTTTAAAGGGATGTACGACACTCCAGGTGTGGGCGTCATTTGGTCTTGCGTTACAGAGAAAGATGCCACGAAATTAACTAAGTTCTCCAACATCTTTTGAGCAAATGTCACATACTGGTTTGTTTCTTCCGCCTGGAAAATATTCAATGATAATAGTTAGTTAATCTTAATACAAATGAAATAAAATTAGACTTCGGCCAATTAGACGTCAAATACTTATGTAAAATGTTTTGTTGTAGTCCGATAATTGGTGAAATGAAAATAATGATTAATTTTACAATAATGTATTTTTCTTTACCTAATCATAAAAGTAGTCATAGGTACATAATCAACATTCATATTATAAAAATTATAAAAAAACTATCAAATAAGTGACTATGTACTTGAATTAACCTTGTAGTGGTGGCTTAAGAATATCCACTACCCCTTATCATTTCGCGGGTGCCTTAAGAGGCGACAGAGGGAAACAAATCAGAAGATGGCCAGCAGAGTTTTCCTAACAATGACTATAAATAAAAAATAAACTGTAGTTGCTAACACTAATATTCCCCCTATGAGGCAATCTATGATCAGCAGTGGACTTTAATAGGCTGTAAACTTGAATTATCGCAATTAAAATTTAGAAGTTGAGAATTACGGTGCAGAATGACAAATTTTTCTGCATTTTCAGGCAGTAGTTTACTCCTTTTCTTCTAGGAGATAATACCAGCTTCAGAGAAAAGATGCTCTGAAAAAATACTACTACCTTCCCTGTCGAATACTTTTGCCTAATATTGAGCTATTCTGCGTAGAGCAGAATATACTATTTGATGTACGTCTAAATAAAATATTATACTAATTACTTCTTAGTTAACTAAGATATTCTATTACTTTTTAACTTAACAAATTCAACTGAATTAGTAGCTTTAGGTTTCTAGTTTTTAAATTAATAACATAATATATATTTGTACAAAAAACAAAACAATAGCATGGCAACGGTAAATATAAATTGCGTGTGTGTGCATGTGGGTGTGTGTGTGTGGTGGCATTCATTGGGGGATCCTCAGAGGTAACAATACATTCTGCATTTGAAGCCAGATGTAGATGTCTACAGGCCCCAGTATCTATATACCTATGTTATGTACATAGACACTGTGGCCCGTATGTTATCTTATATCTTGTTGGCTTATGTTAAGCAGTGGATTTTTTTTTTTTTTATAGGATAAGGGTGACAAACGAGCACACAGTCCACCTGATGGTAAGTGGTTGCTGCGGCCCATAGACATCTACATCTATCCTCTATTAGAAATCAAAATGTAGATGCGTTGTCACCCGTGAGGACTAAGATGGAATGCCTCATTTCCAGTAAAAAGGGCCTCCGGCCACCTGCACTCACCAAGCGAAACGCAGAGGTAAACCTCTACTTCACGCTGGTTTTCTGTGAGGTCGTGGTACCACCCCGGTTCGAGCCGGCCCATCCGTGCGACAGCAAAAGCTGCCGCGTGGCTCTACCACTGTTAAATCTATGTTAAATCTAGGATTTGTGAAGGGCAGTTACTATGATGATGACGACTGGTTAATTGCAAACTAAATCAAATGGCAACTTTTTTATATTCATATAGTTATCTTTCTGTAGTTACTTAGTCATCACAATGGGTGGGGCAACCCTCTTTCTCTTAGTAGAAAATATATGCAATAATTCTACATCGATTATCAATTACAATTTACTTACAACAGCAGAAGCAAGTATCTCAACATTAGCCTCAGGTTCAACGGAGATGCCAATCTGTGCATAATTACAGATTTGTTGTTGACCAAATGCACCACCTACTTTATTCTCCGCTGAAACAATAAAATAATTATTTTAACACATTATTTATTTTGTTATTTAGCATATTTACAGCAGCTAAATGTTTGGTTAAACATTAGTAATAGTTAACTATGGTACCTACTATGGTAAACTTTAAAGTTTAATACTATTATACTATAAACTTACTAGATAATTCATGTAACTTTTTAAGATTAGAGATCTTGAATATAGCTGATGGTTTTGCATTGGAAATATGTCCCAAGAGCTGCCAGTTAGGTGGTGCTGCGGGATCTGGCCAGCTCCAATATACCATACCAACAGTGCCAGCTGGCAGTGGCGTCACCCCGGTCAAAAAAACGGCCGCATGGTTGATCGAGTCCGTATCGGGGATAGTTATTATAAACGTAGATTCCGTTAGCGGCGTAAAATCAGTTTGGACCTGCATAAGATGTAAATAAACATTATATTTATTAGTATTATGTTATACATTAATAAAAGATATATTACCCATATACAATATAAACCAAAGAAACGGTAAAATCGATAGATATATTTTATAATTCGATCTGACAGTAATAACCAAAATATTTGTTTTAAAATTAATGTTTTTCTAACCTCTACATTTACAAAACATTTACTAGAATTATTGTATTAAAAGCGTAAAATAAACTTACCAGTCGCCCTGATACAATTAAACCGAACACGTTAGACATATTTTTGTTATAAATTAGAAAGGTATTATACTTATATTTATTTATTTATACACAATCTCAAACACTAAATGACAGCTGTATCAAAAATAAAGATAAACTTGCTTTGCTTCCACTAAAAATAAAAATTCTCTTTGCTTCCACTTCATTCTAGAATTCTAGAAAACACCAGAGCACCAGAGTTGCTATTGTTGTTGTTACGAATTGAAAATTAAGGCAGGCAAAAGTATTAGACTATACAGCCTAGTCTGACTTGTATTCAAAAAAAAATTGGTCGTGTTAACGATCCCCTGGGCATCTCTATCGCTTACCGATAGCCCCAAATCGAAGAATCATGGTGGAAGAGGTTCTAGCGTTTTCTAAAGTTTCATGACGAATTGTGTTTCGCTGAGAGATGTCGCATTATAGCCATATAGTGCTAGCATCTACGCCTTATTTTGCAGAAGACTTCCCTGCCCTGCGGGATTCCAACTGTGGCGAAAATAACAGCATCACTGACTGAGGTGTTATGCAGCACTCTCGACAATTTTAGTGTCGTGAAGAGTCCAGCCCTGAATCTAAACTGTTCCTCACTGAGATTTACTTTCTATTGAACATGTTGAAACAGAAGTTTCGCTGGTAGAAGTGTGTCTTTGTCCAGCCTGAACGGCATTATAACTCGCCCTAGTTTCCACTCACTTGGAAAAAGGCCCGAGCTGTTATTAGCAAGATGTTCGTATTGCCATTGATGCCCGAAGCTTCAGTTGTCGATTTGTAAATGTGTAATGATTTGTGTAATGTAACCCACTTGTCTGGGGAATAACATATTGTTGGGTGGGTTCTCGGCGACTTTCAGACTGCGGAAATTGTCCCGAAGTGCTATTTAAGTTTAGCTGTATGAGCGAGGTTCGCTAATAAGAGACAGTTGCGCTGGGATATTATAGGATTATCTGAGGTCGGAAGAGAGGGGAAGGACACGGTTCTTGAATCCGGCAATTTTTCTATTACCGGGAGGGCGTCTCAAGGAGGTGTCGGATTTATCATCCACAAGTCTCTCGTTAACAGCGTTGTAAAGATCTGGAATGTGTCGACGAGGGTTGCGTACCTTATATTCTGAATCATCAAACAGTATTCGCTGAAGGTCATACAGGTTTACTCACTAACGTGGACACATCCCGATCAGGAGGGGGAGGAAATGTATGAGGATATATCTAGAGCCATGCATTCCGCCAAAACCCACTACACGGTGTTAATAGGAGACTTCAACGCAAAACTAGGCACAAGAGAGAACTGTGAGCTGAAGGTGGAGAAGTTCAGGATAGAGCGGAACCCAAGGGGCCAGCAGCTGGCCGACTACATAGAGAAAGAGGAGGGACTCTTTATTATGAACTCTTTCTGCCAGAATCGGCTCCACGAAAAGTGGGCCTAGTCGAGCCGCGACGGTTGGACAAAAAATGAGATTGACATCATTATGACGACTAGGCAGCAACTGTTCAATGATGCCTCAGTGATCGCGAGGGTGAAAACTGGTAGCGATCACCGAATGGCGAGAGGTCTAAACGTTAAGTTGGAGAAGTCACGTTCAATCCAAGGCAAGAAAAAAGTGCACAACTCAAATTTTGAATTAAATTTTAACAATAATTTAACAAAATCAGATCAAGATGTTGCAACGGCCTAAGAGAATATTTTACCGACAAGACATTCCGCGATCTTGACTACAAATTCACTGAATTGTCTGTAAAAATGAATTTGCGTTTCGTAAAATATTTTCAGGAGACATTGTAAAATATTTTAAAATATTAAGAAAACAGCAAGATTTCCGTTAAAGTTGTTGCGCCTATAATAAATGAAATCGCACCTCAACTTGCTATAATGTTTAATACTAGTAGCGAATATGGTGTGTTTCCTGATTTAATGAGGCATAGTAAAGTTATATCTATATTTATATCTGATAGTACTACCACTAATTTTAGACCTATATCTGTACCTCCAACACAGTAAAATTTTTGAAAAAATTTTCTAGATCAAATTTTAAGTTTCATTAATGTAAATAAATTACTCCATAAAAATCAGTGAGTTGTTTTACAAGGGGTCGCTCAACAACTAATGCCAGTGTTGACCTGATAAAACATATTATGTTTTTTGCATGGGATATTTGAGACGATGCTTTGCGTATATTTTGTGGTGTTTCCAAGGTTTTCGATAGTGTTCACCATGAGATATCGATGAGGAAGCTACACATTTATAGTGTAAAAAACATAGCACTCAAACTTATTACATCATATATCTTCTATACATATAATAAAACTGTAAATAGCAGATGTCTGTACATTTTATATTTTTGTAATAAAAGTGATTGAGGGGTACTAAAAATAAGTAATTAAATACATTTCTACCATTTTTAGAATTTTCTGTCTGTCTGTCTGTCTGTCTGTTTGTTTGTTAACGTATCACGTATAAAGTACTAATTTATATCATAAGAATTGTTAAGTAAATTATAAAGTGTATCTTCGGGTTACATTTAGTCTTTATTTCATTAAAATCTGTTCATTCCATCAAAAGTTATGATAAATATTCTGAAGTATGGGTAGGGAAGTATAGGTACGAATTTGCTCAACGGTGGCTTTGTTTGAGTCATCAAGTGCATTTTAAACTAATATCATATCATAAATCATAGTTAAATTATGTAAAATAATGATATAATTATGTATATCTGAAACGCAGTAAACAAAAGTATTAAAGAACGTATTAAATATATTATACAAAAATATATTAACCTTATTAACTAAATCTGAAGCACAATAGTTAACCCATTTCTTCGATAGATGGTGGTGTTGTGAAAATGTAATGCAATTGCAATGTGGTTTTTTCCTGTAGATGAGTTTTCATATTTACTGCTAATCTTTATTATATTACTCGCTGCCCTACTGCGTGTTGACAAACTCAATTTATTCTTTACCGCCGAGTACTCTATGTGGTAAATCAAATTTTAAAAGAGCTATGAACAATTGCGTTGGTTTTGGCGAGAGTCAAACTTTATTTTTTGCTTACTGTGCAGGCACTGATTTTTAAGTTCTCTTGCGTTTTATATAATGTATCAATCGCGTCAATTAATCTCTTTTATTTTTAGAATTGATGTTAGCAGCGCCATCTCTCTTAAAATATATACATATAATAAAAATGATGATAACATGTTGTGTCTCTTTCTGTACATTGTATATATATTTTGGTGGCTAAAATCATTATGGGGAACTGAAAATAATTAAATAAGAACATTTTATAATTTTTAGAATTGTCTGTCTGTCTATTTGTCTGTTATTATATGAACGCATCACGTCTAAAGTAAACATCATTTATTTTCAAAGAAATCGTTAAGAAAATCATAAAGCGTATCTTCGAGTTACATTTAATCTTTGTTTTATTAAAATTGGTTAATTCTATCGAAAATAATGATTATTATTTTGAAATGTAGGTTTGAATTTGTTCAATGGCGCCATAAAATCTCAGAAATAGTAATAAAAAGATTTGTGTGTAAAAAAAACGTTCCATAATAATTAATATATTTATACTTAAAACACAAAAAGAGATTTAAAAAGGATGTTTTCTCACACAAAGGACGTAATAGATGGAGTTGTACCAATTACAAACTTTTCTGAATTGCTGTGTTGAGATTTTTCGCCGATGAATCGTATTGAGACTTACTGAAGAAATTTGTATACATCGAAGCCATACAACGGAACCCGACCAAAAATAAAAATTTTGCAACGAAATGTCGTGATATTGTATTTATAATATACGCAAAATCAGTACTGCCATTCTAGCGCTTTCGGAACTAGATTTAGCGCTTTTTTGGAATGTATAGCGCGCATTTCGAAATTTTAGCACCTAGCTTAATCCAGCGCTTTTTGGTGTATTTAGCACACATTTCAATATTTTAGCGACTAGCGGGTTATTAACTCTTTTATAGCAGCACTGTTAGTCCACATTACCGATAATAATAATAATGACCTTTATTATTTTTTCCCACAAATAGTACATTGCAGTTTATCTTTTTCAAACATATTTTTTCCACAAAACAAAGAGCATGGGAGACGAGTCCAAACTAGGATACCCTGTGCTATGGATCTCCTGGCTTCCCCTTTAGGATGATCAACTTGATTTTTTTACCGACGACTATAAGCGGGGAAATCCCCTTTATTAAAGTTTTCGTTCATGGTTTTGGCAACGCATTTATTTTGCTTTGTTCAGTTTCAGTCAGTTGCTTAGAGCACAGCTAAGTTAAAAGTTACTTAGAAGTTATAACACAAAGAAACTGTGTAGCAACCGCAATCAGATGCTGACATCTGAAACTAAGTTGCGAAATACATTGCACTTTAAAACAATTAATGACATTTTTATTGTTCGTACAGTACTAACTACTGTTGACAGCAATTGCCATAATTATAAGTCGATGTCCTGCGAAGTATTGATACATCAAAAAATATTGCCATGAAAAAAAACTTAATGTTGTTTTCTTTATTATGATTATATAAAAAACACAAACTTTGTTTGTAGTTAATTTAGCGCGAAATCTAGGGCTTTTTTAAAGCGCAGTTTTCATGAAATCTAGCGCTTTTTGTGTTGTTCTAGAGCTGAATGAGTTTTTTTTATCTGGCAGCACTGCCCAAAAACCCTCTATTAAGAAGTACCTTTCCTTTCAGTTTTAAGCGCGTTCAGTTCCCAGTTACAGTGAGCGTGTGTTATGCGATGACCGTAAATAAAGCGCAAGGTCAAACTTTACGCGTTGTAGGAGTGTACCTCAGTACTGACTGTTTTGCACATGGCCAACTCTATGTTGCTTTTTCCCGCGTTAGTAGCCCCCGTAACCTTTTTGTGTACGTGCACCCCGGCTAAGCCTACTTCTAACGTCGTTTACACAGAAGCTCATAAACGACTTAGAACTTTGATGATAATGATTTATTTAGTTACCACTTATTGATACAGTAATGAAATAAATCGTTTAATATTCTCTTACCTAAACGACA